AGCAGCAGATATTCAATAAAAACGAACAATGAAACAGCGAGACTCTTGGAGCCTTTGCTTTGAGCATGAGCATACTGTTGTCCTTGACCAACACGCCCGTCTGAGGAGTCACTTTGCACACTTCTGACCCCTTAGCCTTGGAGAGTCATTCTGAGGAATGTATTGTTATGGAATGTCATCCTTGTGTAAGTGTAGTAGCGTGTACTTATGAAAACTTAGATAGCATAGCTCTCTACACACCTGGGCCATATGGTGTGCATATATGATGCAGACTGTTGCTCCTAGGTCCGTGGTGAACAACATACGATTAGATCAAGCACAAGAGAAAATGGTGCGATCAGGAGATCCTTGATGTGCTGCCACTATACTGTGGCACACGGAAGCAGCTTGTCAGTGATACAAGGAACATCTAAAATAATGATTAGTGAGTCTGGTGGAGTAAAACCCCAGTCCCTGACATTGCTATTATCAGGTGCTAGGTAGGGTATATGATTGTGTGTGCTGTACTTTCCTATGACTGTCAGCACATTGGGTTTGTTTACGCCAGTGTCACCACAGATGTGTGCGTACCAACTCACAGTAGCTACAGCGTCAGTAGGTGACAGGAATTTTTTTTCAACTCCATTATAGTCTTGTATGATCCAGTTTGTAAGTGTAGTCCTTCATTGACAACGTTGTCATTACATGGCCCATGCCCCTGTATATGACGTGTCTTTTCCTGTGAAAAATATTCAGGTAGTTCTACAGCTATCAGCAGCTAGTAAGGGCAATTGCAATGGCTGTGTCCTGTAGTCCTTAGTCCCGATCTAAATGCCCTCTGTGTGCCATCTCATTTACTCCTCATGGAGCCTGATGAGTGGACTCACCATTTTGAGGCCGTGAGCGTGTCTGTCCACCAGCCACTGTGAGGAGCATTTTTCCTCATGATCTTTGCCTTCACGTATTTTAAATGTATATTGCTGAGGGAAGATATTTTAAGTCATGCTGTCAGAACACTGGATGTTTCCCAATTCTAGCATGCACAGCATCTATTCTCAGTACTGAACAGAAAATATTTTGTGGCTACACACCTTGTAGATGATATTATTCTGTTTGGGCTGTCATCTGTCCTTGGTGTGTTTAGGACAGTGCGTATAATAATTAGCCGTGAGACACATAATTGGGCTTAAACTCTTTTCTCTCTGGATACCAGGAATGTGTGTTCTCCTTGACACAGAAATCGTTACAACTCTCCTTGTTTTAGGAGGAGGACGCCTTTGTAGACACCTTTGAGGTGTGCCCTCACCTTGTAATTTGAGCTAGCAAAGCACTGTTGAAACAGGGTCAAAGAGTGACTGAAGTTAAAATACAGGTGTACAGTTTCTGTGGTAGATGCATTTTTAATTTTTTGAGAATTTCGTACATGAATACTGTATTTACATCACTTACACCCTCTTCCCCCTCCAATTCATCCTGCATCCTCTACCTATTCAATTTTGTGACCTATTTTTAAAATTATTATTACATTTACTGTTGCTTGTATATACATGTGTTTAGGGCTCACCACTTGGGATAGGATAACCTATCAGGGAGCTTGTTCCTAGAGAAAACTGATTCGCTCTTGGGAGCCGTTGGTTGCTGTAACTCCTCATCTAGAGGTGGGACCTTGTGAAATTCCCCCATCCACATTGGCCTGTCCACTGGTGTTGTCATGGTCTTGTTTAGGCAGCCATATTTTGAGATTTTGTCGGTGTGGCTTCCCTGTCATGTCTAGAAGACACTATTGATCAGCAGGCATCCTGGTCCTCTGGCTCTGACAGTCTTTCTGTCCCTTCTTCTATGGTGTTCTCCGAGCCTTAGGTGTAAGGGTTGCATTATTAATGCATCAGTTCAGATTGGGCACCCCACAATCATTTATTCTGTGTTTGACCAGATGTGAACCTCTGTAATAGTCTCCATCTGTTGCTAGAACAAACTTCTTTGATGAGTGATGAGAGCCACACTTACATCCAGTGATTCCAAGCTGGGAGCCACAGATAGGAGAGAACACGTGGCATTTGTCTTTGGTCTTGGTCCCCCTGCTCAGTATGATGTTTTCAAATGATACTCATTTATCTGCAGATTGGATGAGTTCCTTTTTCTCTGCAGCGGAATGGCCCGCCATTGTGTAAATGTACCACATTTCATTATCCTTTCATCAGCTGAAGGACGTTTGGGTTGTTTCAGTCTCTTAACTATTGTGAAAAGAGTAGCAGTAAGCAAGGCTGAGCAAATGCCTCTGCAGTAGAACACTGGGCGTGTGCCTGGGCGTGGCATAGCTGGGTCACGTGGGTCTCCTTTTAGCGTTCTGAGAATTCTCCACCCTGATTTCCATAGTGACTGCATCCCTTTGCACCCCACCAGCAGGGACTAATGTTCCCCTCTCCCCACATCTTCACCAGTGTTTTCTGTAAGTTGTCTTCTTGATCTTAGCCATTCTAACTGTGGAGAGATGAAATCATAAAGTAGTTTTAGTTTTTATTTCCGTGATGGCTAAGGATGTTGAATACTTCTAAAGATATTTCTTAGCCATTTTAGTTCTTCTTTTGAGAACTTTCTGTTCAAATCCATAGTCCATTTCTAATTGGGTCGTTTTCTTGATTCTTTGCTTTTTGAGTTCTCTGTCTATTCTGGATATTAATTCTCTATCAGATGTATAGCTGGCAAAGATTCTCTCCCACTCTGGGCTTCCTCTCAGTTGATTGGGCCCTTTGCTGTGCAGAAGCTTTTTAGTTTAGTGTGGTCCCATTTGTCCATTACTGGCCTTAATTCCTGAGTAAATGGAGTGTGTCGTAAGATCCTTTCCTTCACCTATACGTTACAGGGCACTGCCTGTTTCCTTCTAATAGTTTCAGAGTTTCTGGCTTCACATTGATGTCTATAATTTATTTTGAGTTGATTTTTGCACAAGGTGATAGATAGGGGTCTAATTCTATTCTTTTACACGTGGAGGTCCAGTTTCCCAGCACCCTTTGCTGAAGATGCTGCCTTCCTTCCTGTGTATATTTTTGTCATCTTTGTCAAATACCTGTAATTATGTGTGCTTAGAACTGTTTCTTTGAAAAGAGACGCAAGATTGACAGACCCTTAGCCCAGTTAACTTAAAGAAAGGAGAGACCCAAATTACTGACAAGCAGATCAATGGAACTGGAGTTAAAAACAGTTGATAGCCACCATGTGGGCTATCCCGGGGATTAAACCTAGGTCCTCAGCAAGAGCAGCCAGTGCTCTTAACTGCTGAGCTGTCTCTCCAGCCCCATGGTAGATAATTTTAAAAAATTACCTGTAAAGTAAATTTTTATAAATTTAACTAAATATCTATTGCTTCCAGTTAAATTGTTAAAATTTATTTTCAAGTTATTTGCATGGGTGTTTTGCCTGCATATATGTAAGTGCACTTACTTAAGCATGCAGTGCTCATTGAGACCAAAACAAGGCGTGGGATCCCCTGGAACTGGAATTATAGGCAGTAATGTAGCACCTGATGTGGGTGCTAGGGATAGAACCCAGGTCCTCTGCAAGAGCAGCAAGTGCTCTTAACCACTGAGCCATCTCTTCAGCCTTCCACTGCTTTCATTGTTAAAGTGAGAGTACAGCAATCCTTACAGACCTGCTTGGAACTGCCAGTCATCTGATGGTCTTGACTTAACTGTCAGCCACGTTAGGATTACTAACACTATTGTCAAAAAATACTGTCACTAGAGCCAAAGGCATCACTGCAGTTAGAAATGACAAGCCTGGAGATATTTGTGGCTGGCCAGTTGAAACCTCAGTCAAGTGCAGGGATATGTACATCCATGCTGGCCCAATTCTGAAGTCTAAGCACCCAGAGATGCTTTTGGTGTTGGTTTTCATGGAAACTCCTTTACCCAAGATGCACCTGTTGGAATCCTATTATACATCATGTTGAAGCAGCTTTGTCCAGTAGAGGGGCCTGGTGCTGAAACTTCTAGCAAACTCTGTGCTCTACAGAGTTAAGGGCTGTGTTCTTTTTACCCCTGTGTCTAACCAAATAAAATGAAAGGATAGATGTGTGGGACATTTGGTTATTAAACAAATGAGTCACATAGCACTCTCTGAAATTAAATTGTCTTAGCTGGGCAGTGACCCATGCACATGTGGCTTAAGCATAAGAAATGGTTTTCACTGTGTAGGTGGCCCAGGTTGACTATGCTGCGTCTCTCAAAGCGGGCAGTCACTGCCATGGAAGACATTTCTCTCACACCACCAGCCTCTTTGAGGGCTGTAGGAAGAGGATGTGAGACTGGGGATGGATAGCACCTTAGCCATAAATCATGAACTGAGCCCAGGCAGAGTCCATCCACACTGCCTCAGGGACTTGCGATCTCCAGCCTCAGAGAACTGAGGATCAGCTTGTGACTTACAACCTCTCCTGTGTGGCTGTCCGCGATTTCAGATGAATCTCCTTCACCCTGGGTTCCAGTAGTGCTGAGTGCAAAAAACAACAGCCATGTGCTCGATTGGAGATAGGTAACGCTGGGAGAGACTATCAGGCAAAGCTACAAAATCAGAATAGGAAACGTATGTTAGTAGAATACCAAGGTCGTGTAAATGTTGATCCTGGAAGAACTGAATGTTTTGCTAACTCATTGATAGCTGTCATTTTTGAACCTATAGCGTTTTTGTTTTTGTTTTTAATGGAAAAGCTGATTCTCTAGATACTGAGGATGCTGCTGATTCATGGACTGGTCTCAGTAGCAAGGCTTAAGATGCTGGTTTTCAAACTTTGCTTCATACGAGGATCATTATGATACCCGAGAACTTTAAAGGATGCGGGTGACATGTCCCAACCCTGGAGATTCAGATGTAATTGATAAGGGGTGGGGCCTGAGCCCCCGGTTCATGAAAGTTCCTTCTAGTGTGTAGGTACATTAGGGAACTGATGCTCTGGACTGGTTCCAGTTGGCTGTGGAAAGGAAATGGTAATCCTAGGCATCTAACCTTTTGGTGCCTGTTTACAGGTTGCTGCAATCTACAAGGACTCAAGCATTGGAAACCTGATAAACATCGTGATTGTAAAGCTGATTGTAATTCACAGTGAGCAGGTATGCAGCTAGTAGCAAGTCATGCTAGCTCTCGTGGGCTTCTAGTGCCAGTATCTGGAAACCACAGACGTCCTGTAAGAAATGAAAGCATTTAAAACTCAGAAAGAGGAAGCTTCAGCAGTAGTGATTTAACTTTTTTCTGTTGTGGTGGAGACTGAATGGAAGGGCCGCAGTGTTCACTTGAGCTGGACAATACAAACACGAATCAACAGTTCAAAGAAACCCAAAGTGAAAAGCCTCCATGTTTTCACTTCTCTAATCCTAGTGTTGAAGGATTTAGAATGTTAATTTCTAAAAGTCCGATTATTTTTTATCCTGAATATTGACTGTATCACAATGTTTTAGATATTGCTAAATTGTGCTTGATTAAATATAGGAAAGAGGGCTATGGTTATCCTTTATCTGTAAAAATGCTATTTGGCAAATATTGTAAATTCTGATAAAGCTGAGAGGAGATAAGACTGAAATGTTCTGACATTTTCTGTAGGAGGGACCTGTCATCAGCTTTAACGCAGCCACCACATTACGCAACTTCTGCCTGTGGCAGCAGACGCAGAACGTGCTAGAAGACACTCACCCTTCCCACCACGACACTGCCGTGCTCATCACCAGGTGAGGCTTAGGTACCCTCCCCCCTCAGGGCAGACCTCTCCTCCCCTTCTTTCTCCTTTATTCCTTGTCAGTAAAAGTTCAAAGTGCCCGTGAGAACGCGTAGTGAACGAAGGCATTTGACCGTGCTTCCGGGCTGAATTGTGGGTAGTTCCTTAGGAAGTCAGCAGAGTTGGGATGCGGAGCAACACTGTGATTTAAACAAAGTACAGCCCTGGTCGTGTTGGTGACAGAATGAGAAAGTTAGGACTAGTGTTTAGAAACCGGCATCTTTCTAGAACTGAGGCCAACTTTGCTCATTCCCTCAGCGTTACGTGTCTATGTCTGTCTTTCTGTTGTCTGTCTGCGATCTGTCTCCGGTTTGATGCTCAGTGCTTCTCATAATTATCAGTCTTCCCTTGCCAGGGTTGCTCTCAATGGAATTTAGTTACACGAAAACAGCTTCTGCTATTAAAAAAGTTTTCATTTTATAAATACCAGCATCTGGCACTAATTCACACCACTTACAACACCAGAATGTATATTTGTTATTTGGTTGGTCGTTTTCTGATGAAATCCATCACTTTGGGGTCAACCTCAAGAAAATGTCTGTATTCTAGGACCCTGAACAGAAAAATCTGTTTTACCATTCTTTGAGACTAAAGCAAAATTGTCTTAATTTACACACACTATCATAGTCCATGGTTCTGGCCAGTGCTGTTGCTGCGATAAAGCTTCAGGTTTACAGTGAGATTTCAGATGGGAGGGAGGAAGAACAGTGAGAAGTGAACACGAACACAGACAGAATGGGGACTGAACACAGACAGATGTGGGGACTGCCCTGCAGCAGGCAGGGGCTCAGTGCCAAAGCAGCCACGGAAAGAAAAAGTTGAAACCCAAGAGCATCCACAGTTTGCAAAACAGCTGGAGCTGTCAGAAGATGTTGCTGTGTAGACTGTGGGAGCAGCTGCACAGTTCGCAGCACCCGCTGCTGCTGTGCATCCATTGCCTACAGATATGCATAGGTGATGCAGCAAACTAACTTTGGAGTGCAGCGAGAACTAGGCATTTGAAGTTAATTGTGGGCATGGTCATGCCGTAGTGAACTTTTTTATTTTGTTGTGACTCACGGCAACCATACTTTCTGAAACTATTTCAAAATAAAATATCTTGTTTTAAGGGAGGACATCTGTGGAGCTCGTGAGAAATGTGACACCTTAGGTAAGTCCTTTTGTCCATTAAATGCAGTTTGCTTAGTATTTAGCAAATTATTTTAAGTAATATCTAGGGTTTCCTTTATAGTTTGCATTTTAGTAATTCTGATTTGTCTGGATGAATTGTGCTTGCCACTTATTTGATTCTGCCTCTAAATTTTGTAGAATAACAAGAACTAATATTTATTTGTTGCTAAGTATCAAGTGCTGTGTTCAGCTTGCGTGTTTAAAGTGCTGTGGTATGTATGAGGAATAATACACTAGCCTATATGCCTGCCTAAAGCAAAGTTATAATGTTGAGCCATGACCGCACCACCCAACCCAACAGCTGGATCTTGGCTGCTCCTGTGACATGATCTGTGTCCAGTCCTCATCCTGTTTCTCTGTGGTCCCTGTTGAGGTAACCAGCGCTGGGAATTCCAGCCTTCTCGGTTCCTTCCAACTTTTGAAAATAGTAGCATTACCTATGCATGTATTTCTAAATAAGACATTATTTAGTTGTTTCCTTTTAAAATTTTTATTTTTTTAATATACATATAAGGTGTGTGCCTATGTGTATGTGTGTTGTGTGCAGGTGCCTATGGAGGTGAGAAGAGGGTGTTGGATCCCTTGGAACCAGACTTCTAAGCAGTAGTGAGCCATCTGATGTGGGTGCTGGGATTAGCACCCAGGTCCTCTGCAAGAGCAGCAAGTGCTCTTAACTGTCTCTCCGGCCCCTGGTTTTGTTCTTTTTTGAACTTTGTAGTTTTGGTTATGCCTTTTCACTTCTGTATAAATTTTCATGTATAGTATAGGACTTACACCTATGTCTTATAGTAGAGTTGGACTAAATTACAGATTTTTCCTGGTTAAGAACATGGCTGTAATAGGGAGGGCATGCTTCTGTGACCAGAATTGCTCGATCATGGACTGTGCTAATGCGGGTTGACCATCCCTAATCGCAGATGTTCTACAATCTGAAACTGAAAGTTTCATAACACCTTTTATTGAAGGAAGGAATTTGACTCTTCTTTCACACCAGAATTGTGGATGGTAGGGCCCATGTCACATTCAAAAAGTTTAAGCTTTTCGAGCCTTTTAAAAGTCTGGGTTTTTGTTAAAGGTTATGCAGATGTTCCCAAAGCTGAAAATCTCTGAAACTTGAAACCTTGTAGTTCCAACTATTTTAGACAAGAGATACTCAACTTGTACTCAGTTATCTAAGATATATGAATTTTCGTTTATATGTATATGCGTGTATTGCCTGCATGGGTGTAAGTGCACCCGTGTCGTGCAATGCCTGCGGAGGACAGAGGAGGCTGTTGGATCCCCTGGAACTGGAGTTACGGACAGTTGTTAGGTGCCATGTGGGTGCTGGGATTCAAACCCAGGTCTTCTGCAAGAACAGTCAATGTTCTTAACCACTGAGACATCTCTCCAGCCCCACGAATTTATTTTTTAAAGTTGTCTCATCAAGCTACATCGTTTACTCACTTCCAGTAAGATAGAAACCTTCAGAGGCGATTGGATGTGTGTGTGTCTGGGGTGGCTGGCCATAGGAAGTGTAAACAGTCATGCCATTCTTTGTTGATACAGGCTGTCTTTACAGTTCTTACTTTTTCTCCCAATCTAAAGGAGTGTATTCAATAGAGCTCTGATTTTCATTTTCCTGACTGTAAGATGTTTGAACTGCTCTCATGTATGTGCTGGTGTCACGGTTCTTTTCTGGAAGGAGGAAATGAATGGACGCAACATTGTACAGTCTTCTTCTGTTTCTTACTGTTTTCAGATAGATATTGTCACTTCCTTTCCCCCTTTTTGTTGAATTTTTGTGAACTTCATACAATATATTTTGATTGTATTTAGACCTGCTCCCCTATCTGGACCCCTTATTAACCTCTACCCACTTTCATGTACTCAATAAATATGTATGCCTAGACAGTCTTAATTAGTGTCCCCAAATGCCCTTTGGAATGGGTCCATCCACTGGATGACCTACCAAGAGTCACACCCTTAAATGAGGTTGACTCTTCCCTTCCCAGCAGCCATCTGTTTCCAGTAGTTCTCAGGTAGGGCTGGGGTTTCTTACCCACTTTCCCATGTCTGTGCTGGGATTTGTCTGGCTTGAGCTTTCGTGGGTCTTGTCCATGCTGTCAGCATTGCTGTGAGTTCAGATGAGTAACTTCCCAGCTATCTGGAAAACTGTTTCCTGGTGGTCACCCACCACCTCTGGCTCTTACAGCCTCACTGCCTCCTCTTCCGCAATGACCCCTGAGCCTTGGGAGACAGAAAGTTTGATAGAGGTGTCCAGTACAGGGATAGGCACTCTGAAGTCTATTATTCTCTGCACGTTGGCCATTTGTGGGTTTCTCTGTTAATCACCATCTGCTGTGTAAGGAAGCTTATGTGTTGAGAGTTGAGAGATGCATTCATCTATGGGTATAACAATAAATCATTGGGAGTGACTTTAATACTCTTATCTACTTAACAATATAATAATATTAGGCGCTCCCCTATGGCCTGTGACCTGTCTAGCCACATGATGCCTGATATCAGTGTCAGGTATGGACTTTGTCTTCTGAAGTGGACCTTAAATCCAATTAGCAAATGATTGGCTATTCCCATGTTGTTATGCCTCTGCTGCACCACAGAACATATTTGCATTATTTAATAATTATAATTGACATGCAACCCTTTTCCTGTGTATGACATTTTGTTTTGTGTTCCTTTTGCATCACATATCGTTTTATTTTTTTGCCTTTTTCTGGGTTTTTTAAAGCATTTTTATTGAATTTTTGCGATTTCCATACAATATAATTTGATGACATTTATATCCTCTCTCTCATCCCACCTCCCCACATCCCCCCCAACTCAATGTACTGTTTCTGTATTATGAAGCCTATAGAGTCTTAAGTTGAATCCCTAAATATTCTTCAGTGTGGTCCATCCACTGGAGCTTACATAGGACCTGTGCATGCTGTCACCACTGCTGTGAGTTCTTATGAGCAACTGACCAGCTGTCTGGAGAAATCTACCCACCCCCTATGGTCATCCACCATCTCTGGCTCTTACAATCTTTCCACCTCCCCCTCCACAATGATTCCCAAGCCCTGAGCTCCCGGAAGCCTGACAGGCGTCCCACCCAGAGATAAGTGCTCTGCAGCCCCTTCCTCCCCACACATTAGAAAGCCGTAAGTTTCGGTGTCAATCACCATCTGCTGCATAAGGAAACTTCTCTGGTGAGAGTTGAAAGATGCATTAATCTTGAACAGTGGGTGAGCACCTGACCCAGCACAGTCCATTATGATCATCCCTCCTGGGACTGGAAGTCCATATTATTATGAGGGTACACAGTTATATCTCACAGGAGGGGACCACAGCTCCGGCTCACAGGAGGGGACCACAGCTCTGGCTCACAGGAGGGGACCACAGCTCCGGCTCACAGGAGGGGACCACAGCTCTAGTCTTCCTTCCTTCCCCAAGTTCTCAGGCTCTCAAACAGTGTCCTTCTTTCTGCATGTATACAAGCACACTCATGTCCTGCAGTGCCCTTGGAGGTCAGAAGAGGGCGTTGGCGCCCCTGGAACAAAGCTACTTCATTTGATGGGCTAAAATTTTGCTCCTCTGCTTAAAATCTTTCATATATAATCCAAGATGGCTGGGTGTCTGGGTTCCGTTCCTGCCTACCGTGCAGATCCCCACTCATTTCTTGGCTTCTGAGTGACGCTGCACAGAACCTCGGGGTCTGTCCCTCTGGGCGGTGAGGCCACCATGGCCACACTGGAGAAGCCCGTGAAGGCCTTTGAGTCACTCACATCATTCCAGCAGCAGCAGGAGCAGCAACCACAGCCGCCGCCTCTGTTATCATCCAGATGGCTGTGGATTTGTAAGATTTTTGAAGAACCATGTTATAAATGCAAGGGTAGAGTCCTCTTCGAGACTCTCCTCTGATAGCCTTTCATCTTTGGTAGGGTAGGCTTTTGCAGTCATCCGCAGCTTCAACTTGGCCACGATCACATTGGCCTCTTGTAGGAATTCTGACTTGAGGCTCCCTTGGTTCATAGCAGCAGTGGGGGTGGCGGGGGGCTTCTCCTTCAAGTGCCGCTCCAGCTCCGACTCCCCAGTGGGTTAGCTCCCACTGGCACTTGAAGCAGCAATGCTCAGTCTTTGTTTCCAGTGCTAGTCAACCTCCTGATTGCCGTGGTGGCCTGGCAGGGGCTGCCCTGCCCCTGTCCAGCCTCCCTAGATTTCTTTAAAAGCTAAAATTAGTTTTTCAATCCTGCTTTCCTTTGCTTTTTTGTTTGTATATGTAGTTCAGCATTTATTAAAAGCATTTATTATTATTAAATATTTATTGTTTTGCTTTTTTGTTGTTATTGTTTACTTTTGAGACAGGGTCTCCCTGTAGCCCCAGCTAGTCTAGAACTCACTATGTAGACCAGTCTGGCTTGATCTCACAAAATTCTGCCTGCCTCTGCCTCATAGTGCTGGAATTAAAGACACGTACCACTATTCCTGGCTTATTAAGTATCTTTAAAATTTTTTGATACAAGATGTCACTATGTAGCCTTGGTTGGTCTTGAACATGTAAAGCCCCTGCCTCAGGGGCTGTAACCTATGCACCAGGCCCGGCTTCTAGTTTCTGTTTTAGGAGATCCTTTAGAAACTGTACCTCCCACAATCATATTGTAGACCGTGGCTGCTGTGATCTCTGCAATACACTGGACTCCCCTGCCCTGTTCTTCTCTGGGTTTATTAGGTTTCCTCTGTGAATCAGATGAGACTCCATTATGTTTTTGACATCGTGCTCTTTCATTACATCTCATATTAAGGAAGTACAGACAACAATCCACAATAAACCAAGAGGTAAATACAAATATTATTGCAGTTTTATACATGAGGATAAACAATGTGTCCAGGCCTTTATACTTTATAGTAATGCAAGTAAGAGTATCTCATTTTCTCACCTAAAGTATGTCATAATCTAATGGTAATAACTGCTGCTCACCATGATGTCACTTTTGTTTGTCCTGTTACCCCAGTCTTTGAACATGTTTGGCTAAATGCACTGAGAAATGTTTTCCATTCTTTAAAAAAATTATTAAACTAGTGTGTGTATTTATCTGTGTGTGTGTGTGTGTGTGTGTGTGTGTGTGTGTGTGTGTGTGTAGCGCCTATGTACCGAGGAGTGTGGGCTGACGTCAGAAGACAACTTGTGGGAGTTGGTTCTCTCCTTCTACTGTGTGGGTCCTGAGGATCGAACTCAGGTCCTCAGGCTTGGTGGCAAGCACCTTCTCCTGCTGAGCCATCTTACCAGCCCATGTTTTTCATTTTACAAGCTGGCTAGATTGGATGATTTCATACAGTATTGTATAGTATATGTTCTATTGTAGGGGACCTTTATCAAATTGGAGTCCATGCTGCCTTCTATCCTAGACAATTTTTCGAGAACTCAGTATCAGTTTGAGTGAATCTAGACAGCATCAGCCAGCTGCTTGGTACTGCAGTGCTAACCATTCACTTTAATTTTGTTGGTGTGACCTATTTGTGGCCTTGTAGGGGAAATTTTCAGCCTATTTCTGAATATATACAATATATATTTTTTGAGTCTTTTCTGTAACTAGAGTATCCATTTTAGAATGCATGTACCTTAAACATCAAATTAAAGTCTGTGTGGTAATGGAGTCAGTACTGTATTCCAAATACCAACATAGCTGTACAAATGAGTCTGTTGTGTCTGAGCTGCTTGGCAGCTTGGGACTGCTCATGGAGGCCTGGGGACAGCAGATTGGCTCTGAGGAAACACCTTCACCTTTCACCTGCTTTGACAAAGGACAAATGCATTTTAAAATGGAATTGACTAAATGTTTCACATGTAAGCATGAGTTTTAGAATCCTAAGGAAAACAGAAATTCCCTGTTTCTCTTGATTCTAAGTAAAGATCTTATGTGGAGGACCTTGCCCAAGCAAGGCCTTTTGGCAAGAGAGTCACAAAGAGGACAACTCTCTCCTTTTCTGGCTATCCGCCTTAGACGTTTTTCCAGGCTTTTTAAACTCCTTAATTTAGCCTTCATTTCTCTAAAGGAAACATTGTAATGCTTTGGAAATCTGTCTTGCGTGCTAGGACAATGCTCATGCTTTTGTTTGTTTTTTGTTATTTAATTTAAGACAAGACCCTGTCCCTGTAGCCCCAGTTGGCCTGGAACTCGCTATGTAGACCACACTGGCCTCAATCTTAGAGATCCACCTGCCTCTGCCTCCCAAGTGCTGGGATTAAAGGTGTGTGCCACCACCATGCCTGGCCTGATGTTCATGTTTTAAACTTCTGTATATAAAAGAATGCCGAGGAGGAGGGAGAGGAGACATAGGGACTAATAGAAGTCTATTCTGTACTGAACTCCAAAATAGTGATATGTTATATATGAAGAACCATCTCATTTGTGAAAAGAGCCATCTAGCAGGATAGATATGTTTACAAGTAAATGTTAGAGTAGAATTAGCAAAAACCATATTACTGTTTTAAATTAAAAAAATACGTAGCCCTTCTGTTATCACTGATGCAGTATGGATTGTTACAGTGAAGGAGTCTTTTGAATGTCTTACTCTGTGTTGTTTTGAAGGACTCTGTGTAGTGATTATCATCACAGTCTGTTGTCTAGTCAGTTCACATTGCTTTCATCTTTTAGTATATTTGACGTGCACGTTCATCTTTAGCTAGAAGTGAGGCGATTCTGTTACAGTAACATTTCCTGCTGCTGAACTTCTTCAAGATTCCTGAGTGCTTGCAGTAATCCCTGTGTCACAGCCCTGCTTCGTTTCATCCAGCATGTATTAAATGCATACGCCATTCTAGGCACTTATGTTTTACCTGCTTAATTATGTGAATATTGAATTAATTAGTCAAGTATCTGTATGCTGTGTCAAACTCAAAAATTAAAAAAAAAAAACTTCATAGACCTGTAGGGTTCAGTACTGTTCTATTCTTTTAAAAAATTTTATGTGTGAGTGCTTTAGGAACACCTGTGTTGTGCAATGCCCATGGAGGCCAGAAGAGGGCATTGGATCCCCTGGAACTGGAGTCACAGATGGTTGGTTGCAGCCATGTGGGTGCTGGGACCAAACCCAGGTCCACAAGAGCAGCCGCTGCTCTTAGTCGCTGAGCCATCTCTCCAGCCCTCTTTTCGTCTTGATTTTTCTGCCTGTTAAATCTCTTGTCCTACTTCCCACACTAGACCAACTACATTTTCCCTTTTCCTATATTTTTAAAAGAGTATTTCCTCATCACTTAATGTTTGGATTATTTTCTGGAGTGAAAGAGGCCAAGAATTTACAGAAAAATTTCAGTGCAGACCAATCTATCTGTTCTTTTATCTTTCACCTTTAAATACTTGTTCACTGTGAGTAGCCGGTCTGCATTGTTTTCCATCGCCATTGCCTAGACTTTGCCTTTAGTTTTTACTTCACGATGTTGCCGGTGCCTCGCATTTTGATGAAGTTCACATCTGCAATCTTTCAGGCCTAGCTGAGTTAGGGACCCTGTGCGATCCTCTACGGAGCTGCTCCGTCAGTGAAGAAAACGGACTGAGTGCTGCCTTCACCATCGCCCACGAGCTTGGGCACATGTAAGTGCCTTCCACCACCAGAGGCATGTACCCTGCAGTTATGGTTATTCAGTAGTTATCACCTTTATTTCTTCGTAAAATATTACTAGTGTGGTTTTCAACCTTGCGATGCTAACTCTGGCTCTTTTGTGATCTATGTTAGGTCAGACAGGTTACACAGAGGAACAGAGTAAGCAAAGGACTAGAACTTGGGAATTCTTTTATTTCCCTTACTTTACTGGATCACATGGCAAACACCTCTGGCCTTTATTCCTTGTTAGCCTATACCTGAGCAGGTCTTGTCCTCTGTCATCATTAGGAGGCCCGCAGGGGCTCCCGGTTCTGGGGAACTCCCCTAAGTACTTGAAGTGCCAGCTCATTTCTCGCTCTCGAAGCTCAGAGTTCTGGCATAGGACACAGCCCACGCGAATTTCTTACTCATCGAAAGTTTTTTCTTTAATGCTCTCCCCTACTCTGTATTTGGGGTTCTTTTATTTCTGCTTTATTGAAACTCTGTTGGGGTTCCATGCTCTAAAAATGGAGGCTGTGTTATCGTGTGACATTCATGGAGCACCCATGAAAAGTCTGAAAGTCTTAGAAACGTACCCTCTGAAAATTAATTGCAAATGTATCCCCAGAGAGTGCTCTACTAATAAAGAATCCAGGCTAGAGTTGCCTCTTAGTTTGATTACCTTTTCTTTTCCTGGGCATGCCTTGAGATGTCAGTAAACATTCATAGAGAATAATTAGAAATGGAGATGTGTTCTGGTTCATGGTCACCGGCGGTTACAACTTCAGCATTTGAAGCTGTTTATGAAGTAGGGGTCAGGAGCTGGAGTAGAGGGGAGACCTTCAGATTGTTGAAATGTTCTAACAACACATGGGAAAGACCTTTGCTAGTTTCCAAAGCTGACTGTGCAGAGAGCACTGTGTAATCAGACAGTGATCTTCTTCCTGAGAAGCTCAGTGTCTCTAGAATATGGGTAAGTAGTTTAATTGAAAGTGATTTCAGTCTACACTTGAGCCTGTAGAGCTCAGCACATGAGCTCTGGCTGACATGCTAGTTATTTAACATTTACCCTCATTGACAATACTTTGGGTACCCTTTGGGAATGTTTTTATTATTCCAGTCTGTTGATCACCACTTACGATAAGCCAGAAGCAGCAGGCTCCTGCTGATATGTCCTTGGTACGTAGGCTGATGAGGAGCTGGGAACGAAGTCTTTTGCATAGTCAGGGGTATAGAGTTCAGCCTGGTGCTGCCACCCCTGCTGCATCCACACATTTCATAGGTTGTTCAAGTCGAAACCTGCAGGGTGTGTTTATGTGAATGTTATGCTCATATTCTGAGGAGATCAGACAGATTCCAGATATTTTCACTGTTAAGACTTTGATGCCAAATCAGCAAAATGTGATACTAATCAAAGATAAAATCTAGTATTTATCAGATCATGGGCTTCTGAACATGGAATTGAGCAAGACTATAAAATCTGATGTGACCAGGTTTATCTGTTTTACATTGTCCTGTAGTATAAATGTAAGGGATCTATTACTATGTTGTACACATTTTGATGGTCTTCTTAAGTGTTTATTTTTACTTTCAGATTTAATGTTCCACATGATGACAGTTTTAAATGTAAAGAAGCTGGAATTAAACATCAGTATCACGTAATGGCCCCAACTTTAAATTACCACACGAGTCCTTGGACGTGGTCAAAATGTAGTCAGAAATATATAACTGAATTTCTAGAGTAAGTCTGATTTCTATTACTTTAGTTAAATAAGTGACCATTTATTAGATTATCAGATTTCAAATTTGTATATTCTTTGAAAGTAGCCAAGATCAAGATAGGGTTGGTTTTTCATTGTTTAAGCTTACTATCACTGTGTAAGTGAGTGCTTAAGAACAAGAAGTTTGGGGCCGACAAGATTGCTCAGTGGGTAAAGGTTCTTGCTGATCCAAGTTCAGTTCCTGGAGCCCACATGGTGGTAAGAGAGAACCAACTCCCACCGGTTGTCCTGTGCCTTCCACATGCGCTGTACCACATGGGCTGTTCCTTATACACAAAATAAAATGTAAGAAACGTAGAATTTTATATATAATACATAATTATCTATGTAATTTCACATAAAAAACTTTACCACAGTTCAGGTGTATGTCTCACTTTTTTATTTGGACACTTTCTTTTGATAAAAACTTCTCGTGGGGAGACTTAATGGTGGTCACAACATACTTATCGTAGTTTTAAGGTTTTCAGCTCCTCCTGAGTGATGTTTGGAGAGGTGTTTGAGTGGCTCCGAACACCAAGCGTAGCGGGTCCCACAAGATGCATCTGCCTTCAGAGCCTCTGGCCTGACATTGCTCTTTGGCGGCTTTTCCTGGCTCTGAGAAGAGGCAGATGCCCATTTTCCTGCCTCGGCTCTTCACTGTCACCAACTTTCTCTGTTTCCAGGTTTCTTTTATCTAAATAGAGTTTCCACCATAGCTTCTCAGATGTATCAAGTTCTTAACATAAAATCTTCTTTGCACAAATCTGGGTTTCTTTGGCTCTGTATTAGAATTCTGCTTAACAGCATTAGCCTTCTGCAGTTACCTCTCTTCCTGAAAACTATCGGATAAGTAAAACCATACTTTAGAATATGTGCTAATGAATACAGTCTGAAGTCATAACCAGCAGCGACACCTGATCCTTATATAGGAATTTGATTTTATAACAGCCTCTAGTTGCCGGTCTGTACGTGACACTCATGTACAGTTGAATAAAGCTTTGTTCAATTGGTGACTATGAAAATACACTGTTTCTAAGAAGGAGCTAGCAATACCATTTTCTACAGTAGAAAATTTAAATTTATGTGCTGATTTTACTGAATAAAAACATTAAATATTTTTTATTCAATGAACATTTCCCGATCTCTTAAATTATCACGTAGTACAAATTACTGGTTTCGGGTTGGTTGGAATAATGAATACTTTCAGTTTTCACTAGACTGTATATTTCATGAACAAAAAGGAGCAGATATATTTCCCATGCTTTTTAAAACCACTTCTCTAAGTCAGCTAAGTGAGTGGCATACACGCATGCATCAGTTTCTACGTGGATGCAGTCTGAGGATTCCTCATTAGATTATTTCATCGTGTGAACATCAGGGGTGTGCTTATGCAAACCTAGATGCTGGGGACAGAACCCAGGTTCTTGCACATGGTAGGTAAATGCTGTACCACTGAGCTGCATTCCCAGCTCATCCCCATACCACTGTAACTTCAGGGTAAGGGTGGGGATCAAGTGCAGACAAGCACATTAAAACTCCTCTGTAAACTGAAGTTGTTACTGTGTATTTTAAAGCTGTTTTCAATAGTGGGAAAGTATGAAAGTTCTCTTTGAAAGTAAATAGCTACGGAAACATGGTGTAGGTGTCCCGCTCAAGGTGTAGGGCGTCCCGCTCAAGCGTGCGCGTGCTCACCGTGCTTTGCTTTCTGTCCCCGGTACAGCACTGGCCATGGAGAATGCCTTCTTGACAAACCAAATGGGAGAACATACGACCTGTCTCCACAGCTCCCCGGCCTAATGTATGACGTGAACAAACAGTGTGAGCTCATGTTCGGTCCTGGATCACAAGTGTGTCCCTATTTGGTAAGAGATTCTGTCCACTGCCTTGAAAACTGCTATAAAGTTATAGTTAAGAATATATTACACGGGCTGGAGAGGTGGCTTAATGGTTAAGAGCACTGGCTGCGCTTACAAAGGACCTGCGTTTGATTCCCAGCACTCATACAGGGTGGCCAATAACTGTCTGTACCTCCAGTTTCAGGGGATCCAATGCCTGGGGATCTGACCTGTGTGGGCACTGCATGACACAAACAGGCAGTAGACTTACACATACTATAAAAATAATAAAACACTTAAAAAGAATGTGCTACACACTATACATCCATTCTATTGAATGGGAAGAGAACTAAAGGATGTTTCACACAAGGGCCTAAATAATGAGACACCAAAACCAACAAGGACCTGCCGTGTGCCAGGTGCTTCAAAATTGTCTTTGTTAAGTCTCACAGATTCCTGTGAAGTGTCCTTATTTAAGTAGTAGAGCCACAGGACATTATGCAAATGTATGAAGTCAATGATATATTTTGGGGGACATGGGAAAACGTAGGTGCTTTAGTGCTGAGTTCTTTTAAGGGCCTCAGAAATGTAATAGACTATGTCTTTTTTAAGATTTATTTTTAGCTATGTGTATGCCTGTGTGTGCGGGTGCCCAGAGAGGCCAGAAGGGGGCGTCAGATCCCCTGGAGCTGGACTTAGAGTTTGTTGTGCGCCACCTGACGTGGGTGCTGGGAACCGAACTCAGGTCCTCTGCAAGAGCAGTATGTAGTCTTAACCACTGAGCCATTTTTCAGGCCCTACATGTCTTATATAGAGATGTAAATGCAAAGTAATTATATTTGAAGCATGTTATTTAATTTTAACTATGAAATTCCTTAGTGGTTTGTTTTGGGAATTTTTCACAGGTTATATATTTTTAATCTTCATGAGAAGAGCTTATCCTAACACTTGCAGTGGGTCATTGTGACTTTCTTTGGTGTGGGGTAAAGTTAGGATTGGTTTAGAATGTCAGTGCTGTGGTGAATCTGTGCCATTTTTGTTCTGAGCAGAGTAGACAGCCTGCTCTCTTCACTCTGCAGACATTTTCCAACCTGCTTCCACCATGTAGCAAATGAAGACTTCCCCAGGTGATCTCATGTGACAGGTCACTATCAAAACTACTGTAAGGGCTGGCAAGAGGGCTCAGCGGGCACCTGCTGCCAAGCCTGGTTGACCCAAGTTCAGTCCCTGGAGCCCACATGGTGGAAGGAGAGAACCAGCTCCCACAACATGTCCTCCTACCTCCACAGGTGTGCCATGGCATGACTGCCTCCTAAAACATATACATATAAACATAAACATACATATGTATGTGAATATACAAATACACTAAAAATTATAAAGTTCTGCATATATAATGTCTATATAAATTTTGTGCTTAGTCTTGGATTTTAATTCGAGGATAGCTCATGAATATGAAAGAAAATCCAAAATGTACAAGAAACTGAAATCTCAGACACCTCTGTTTCTAAGCATTTCAGATCAGGGATAGTCAGGCTGCAGTCCCAGCATACAGTTCAAATCTTCACAGAGGGTGCAATAAAATAAATGTTTACAGAGTGGATAGACAGAAGCCACTTAACTGACAGAGTGCAGGACTCCGGAGTTGTCCCACAGGTTGAATAGTACTCTTAAAACTGAATTTATAATCACAGATTGTAATAAGCTTTTAAACATCCACTGTGGTAGGGGGAGGTTGCCTTAGAATCCCATTGTAAGAGAGCCATTTCCTTCTGAGCTGATTTAAGAGAGCAGATAAACTTGCATTTAAATCCAGAAACATAAAGGAATTATCTTGGGTATAGCGCCTGTGACTCCCTGGGTTTTTATTTCTTGGGAAGACTTGAGAACTCTTTGCTCAGATATTGAAAGCATGCATGCCGTTCACAAACTAGGAAACCTGAGTGCGGTCTGCAGCATTCTCATGCACGTAATTCACACATTCTGCCATCGCCCTGAAACGGGCTTTGAGGAACTTGCGAATAACATTTAACAACCAAAAGCCCTTCAGAAAAATATCTTGTAAAGAAGGAAAACTCGCTCATGCAACTGAGTGTTTCCATTCCACTTCATTCTTCTTACTGTTCAATATATGAATAAAATTTCAAGTTTTTTTCAAAAGCAAATGTGGCCCTTTTTGTAGTTGAAAAATCAGTGACTGGAGCTTGATGTTTGCTTATTATGTCTAACTTGGACCACGAAGCCACGGAACAGATCAGGTGGCCCTGTGGGTGCAGAACCGGTCCTGGTGTTGGCGTCTTTACTCTTGTTTGCCTGCTTTGGTTCCTCCGCAGAGACAGTGCCGGCGTCTCTGGTGCACGAGTACGGAGGGCGTCCACAGGGGCTGTCGCACGCAGCACATGCCTCTGGCCGACGGGACGCACTGTGGCCCTGGGATGGTAGGTTTCCTCACAGGGTGAGTCTTGTACCAAGCCCTTATCGAAGGAGCAACTGCTCTGCATTTCAGCATTTATTCATTATTCGCTGTTGACTCTCGCCCCGCTAGTTGAGCTAATTTTATTGCTGTGTTTGTTGGCTATGGTATATTACCGCTGAATTACATGTCGAGTTTTAACTTTGCTTCTACATACAGCAGATGAGTTTTAAATAGTGAATAGTTATGTAAGTAATTATACAGACACACATGTATACGCACACAAAATGAATACAGACCACAGAACCCTAGTATTTCAGTGGCTCCCTCCAAATACAAAGATATTCCCATTGCACATGTTCTCTTCCTTAAACTTGAGTTGAATGTAATTGAATGTATTAAATGACTTTCTCAAATCTTCATTGGTATTAAATATATTAAATACATTTACTTCTAAAACAGTGGTCTGCCGTGCTGCATCTTTACCGTTCTAACACAGACTTGTCAAAATCTGTCAATGAAATATTGAATGATAAGGTTCATATGATCATGAAACGTGTTGTATAGGATTGTATCAGTTCTCTAGAAGAACAGAACGAGAGAGGGAGAGGGAGAGGGAGAGGGAGAGAGAGAGAGAGAGAGAGAGAGAGAGAGATTATACAGAGGGATTTATTGCATTTTGGAGAGCCAGAGAACTCGGTGGCCAGTCAATCCTAGAAGATGGAGCCTCAGAACAAATGGGGCCAACCAATGATACAATCCTAGTCAGATGCTGAAGGCCTAGATGCTTCCTGGAGAGACACTGGCATGAAGCTATGTTGAAAAACTAAAGAAGCTGGAATCTTGAGTTCATGGGCCACGGCAGCACCGGTAGATGTTCTCGCTCAGGAAAATGGAACTTAGATCCACTTTGAGTTGGGTCTTGTACAACATGAATGTTCTAGTTTGTTTTCTATTGCTGTGATGAAACACTGACCGAAAGTAGCTCAGGGAAGAAAGGGTTTGTTTGACCCACATGTTACAGTTCATCATCAAGGGAATCCAAGGCAGGAACTCAAGGCAGGAATTGAAGGTTGGAACCTGAGGCAGGAGCTGAAGCAGAAAGCACGGAGGAATGCTGCTTACTGGCTCCCTTCCCTGGCTCACTCTGTTACTCCTTCTATACAGCCCAGGCCCACCTGCCCAGGGATGGCACTGCCCACAGTGGGCTGGGCCCTTCTACATCAATTAGCAATCTAGAAAATACTTCACAGACATGGCCACAGGCCAAGCCAAAGGAGGGAGTTCTTTAACTGAGGTTCCCTCATCTGAGGTGACTCTAGTTTGTGTCAAGTTGACGAAAAGCAACCAGTGCGGTGAAAGATACATATGTATCCAGTTTCATTTGTTTCTGCAGTTACCCACTTTGCCAGCACAGTTTGTTGAATAGGCTATTTTTACTGCGTGTTTTTGTCACCTTTATCAAAAATTAGATGGCCCTAGTTTTGCCAGTTTATTCTGGCTCTGTTCTTGGGTGTACCCGTCTGTTTCTGTGCCACTTCCTGGCTGCCTGTGTTAGTGTAACTGTAGTGAAACCCAAGGTCAGGTAGTATGATAACGTCAGCTTTTCTGCTTCTCCTTAGGATCACGTTGGCTATTTTTTTTTTCTAGTTATATACAGAAGTCTATCAAGGAAAACTCTAGATTAGAATAAGTCAAACCCAGCAGTACAAACATGAAATTCTGCGACTCTGTGTACATGATCTCCAGTGGGCTTTGGTGGTCTTGCCCTCTGGCTTTTATCCCACAGCATACATCGGGTCTCTCCAGGGTCAGCGCCACTCCATACACATGTTCATATTGGTAGCCTCTCCAGCATCCTGGGGTTCCTTTGCAACATAAGCTTCGCTTGCATAACTTCTCCTGAACTTCCTTCAAGGAGCTGGCCCTGCTATGCTGCACATTATTTGGCTTCACTGGCTTTTTTTAAAACCTTAGAATGAGCCCCTGTGATCCCAAAACTCTTGCATTCCGCCAAACCAGCACCGTGTGGATGATGCTGAGCTCTGCCCACAGCTCAAGAAGGAGCTGGGCCCTTGGACCCTAGCTTTGGGGTCTCTTAAGTGCCTGTGGTTGATCTGACATGTCCCAGCAGACCCTCAGGCATCTCTGCCTTTTAAAATGAAAGTCTTTCAATTTTGTTCCTTGAGGTCTTTGATATGTGAAGTTTTGCCCCCGGGGTGTACTTCCTGTGGTCCCAAGGCAAAGTGGCAGTTTTCTCCCTGGTGGTACCGTCTCCTTCACAGTCACAGCTGTTTTGTGTGCACCTCCCTGTCCTCTGCTCTGAATGCACTCCTGTTCCTTTCTTCACCAGACCACACGCTTCTCATCTTCCTGCTCTGGTTTATCTTTTGAGTCCTTACTGGCTCCAAGCAGCAGGCAGTCACCCTGCCGTAGCCTAGATGTTATGCTGTCTTGAAATGCCATCCACCAAGTAGTTTAGTTCATTCATTTTAGATTTAGCCTCAGATTTTAGGACACAAACAAACTGTAGCCAGAATCTTTGCCAGAATGTAATATGCATGGTCTCTAAGAGAATTCCCAGTGGAGCCCTTAATCCTGTCTGAAACCTCATGAGCACAGCACCTACTGTCCACGTTTTTGTTGGTGTTCCCGTCTTCTGATGTCCCACCAGAACCTCACATGAAGCTCTGTGTACAGCATTCTAGGGCTTCTCTGTCTTACATGCCCATGTCTTCTGCATTCTTTATACAAACCAGCTTCATGGGCCTATAAAGCACATTAAATTTCAGTACAGCAGCAGCCCACCCTGGACACGGCCTGCTCTGCCAGCTGTTCTCCATGTGGCTGAGACAGACCACCTAGAAGCAGCAACCCGGGGGGAGCAGTTCAGTTGTGCTAGTGTTTCAGAGATTTCAGTCCCATCCTGGGGAGGCAGAGTGATCTGGTCTGAGGTGGGAAGAGCAGGTGGCAGTGGGTCCCACGTCACGGGGCAGGGACCAGAGTGCTTGGCCTCGAAGCAGGTCTGACCTTCCAATCGCTCATTTCTCGTGACCAAATTATATTTTTGATGAGGTGGAAATGGTTATCACTTAAGAAGTTGTTAAGCTAATTTTGTGTATTTTGTTTTCTATTTTGGTTTTTGTCCAAGTTTCTTACATTTTCCTGAATTTTTGAGGTACATAGAAGGGTTAGTGAGAGACAGTTTCTTCTATAAGTTTCCATGGAACAATGAAAATAAGAAATAAGGCCATCCCTGTGACTTTGGATAGGTTAAAGTAGAAAATATCTGAAGGGGCGAAAGAGTAAATAGATCGCTTGGATTTAGAACATGAAGACAAGAATATTCAAGTATATTCTTGATATATACAAGACAAGTATACTCCTGGCCTCCCCAGTGACTCTAAACTTCAAAAGCAAGAGAAATACTGTGTTCTTTGTGCAGTCTGCAGGCCTTTAGTCCTGAGTGGAAGGAAGTACTAATTCATAAGTTGGTGTCACATGTGGATGTGGTCTTTTTTTTTTTTTTTTTGGTCTTTTTGAGACAGGGTCTCCCTGTAGCCCCAGATGTCCTGGAACTCACTATGTAGACCAGGCTGGCCTTGAACTCACAGAGATCCGCCTGCCTCTGCCTCCCGAGTGCTGGGATTAAAGGTGTGTGCCACCACGCCCGGCTGTGGTCTCACTTTTGAATGAGCATTTGCTTTATATTGTTTCCAGAATTTTCTTCTTTCCATCTTTAAGCTCCACGTGCTGTCCTAGCCAGACACATTCAAGATGTTTCTTCTTGTGTGTTTGTATTTGTAGCATTGCCACCGTGGCCTGTGTGTGAACAAAGACCTGGAGGCCCGTCCCGTGGATGGCGAATGGGGCCCCTGGGGGCCTTACGGTTCTTGCTCCAGAACTTGTGGAGGCGGAATCAGAAGCACCGCCAGGCTCTGTAACCGTCCCGAGTATGTCTTTTTTATGTCACTGTAAATTAAGATTATCTCAAGGCACCAGAAAATAAACGTCAGTATCATTCACTTCTTAACCTGGAGGTCAGTGTGTAAGTTTCCAAGATTCAGAAAACTTCTGGAATATTTTAGGCCTTACTGATTTTTATTTTTGTGGATTCAGACTTTTAAGAACGCTAACCACTGGCTGGAGAGGTGGCTCAGCGGTTAAGAACACTGACTGTTCTTGCAGAAGACCCAGACTCAAATCCCAGCACCCACATGGTAGCTAACAACTGTCCATAACTCCAGTTCCAGGGGATCCGACAGCCTCTTCTTCAGCCGCAGGCATTGCACGACACAGGTGCACTTACCTACACACAGGCAATACACGCATACATATAAAATAAAAATAATAAATAAAAAAATATTTAAGAAAGCTAACCACCAAAGGAAAAAAAAGCTAATTACCTAGATTAAATTTTGTAATTTGAACTGAGACAGACTACTTTCTACTTTCTTCGTACTTTGTGTTTTCTGATTCAGTATAAATTTAAGGAATAAATATGACCGATGATGAAATGGTGGCATTCTCACATTTGCTGTTTCCATTGAAAGGCCCTGATCTTTCCACTTGAAATCTGTAGTTTGGTCACTAGATGTTTCATTGTGTATGTGATTTGAAAGCCTCATCTCCCTTTTCTGCTGGTGTTGTGGATGCATCATGGTGATGTAGCTGAGTAAGTGCTGAAGCGTCTCGCTGTATCCAACTACTTAAAAACATGTTGAAATCCCATAAAGATTTTAAAGAAATATTTATGCTGTATTTATAATACAGTAGCTCGTGAGCTGTGAGCCATGTCTGTCCCTCGTGCCTTATCAGTGAGCGTTTTTCAATGTGTAGAAATAGGACACATTCTGAATAAATAAGCAATTTATTGGAATTTTAGGATAGATAAATTGCATGTAATCTTTATATTCAGAATTTTTGGAGTTTATTTCCCATCAGAAACAAACAGTGACAGGCAAACATACATACCACACATATGTGGCATACATACATGTATGTACATATATCCTTCTTAATGCAGTGCCTTCCTTTATTTTCTATCTGTGCTTCACCAAGATGTGTTTTTTTTTCTTTTCAGAAAATGAACAAATCCCTGTTTTTGAAGTCTTAAAACAAAATCCTACTATTAGTTTCTTGTCAGTTTTGTCATTTCGGCCACCCAGGTCTCCGTGTCCATCATGAGGTGGCTGTTTTTGTGATTGATTAGCCAGGAGGTTGCTAAAATCCCTGTGATGACTTTCTAGTTTTTAAAATAAGTATTAGCAGACCACTAGTGGCTTTCCTGATACTCAGAAAGAATGCAACAGCTTTAGAACTCAATGGCAGCAGAAACATTGTACTGATGTGCTTTAAAATGTAATGAATTTGACTAGGCCAAGAAACGGAGGAAGGTACTGTGTGGGCCGCAGGATGAAATTTCGATCATGTAACACTGATTCATGTCCAAAAGGCAAGCGCGATTTCCGAGAGAAGCAGTGCTCTGACTTTGATGGTAAACATTTCAGCATCAATGGTCTCCCCTCAAATGTGCGGTGGCTGCCCAAGTACAGCGGGAGTAAGTAGTGATGCCTCCTGGATCTAAATGTTTGCCATGTGGGACCACATGGCTTCATTATCCCACCTCTCAAACTGGGCTTCTCTTCACAGTTGCCATGAAAGATCGTTGTAAGCTCTATTGCCGGGTGGCTGGGACCAGCAGCTTCTACCAGCTGAAGGACAGGGTTGCTGATGGCACTCCCTGTGGAGCAGAGACAAACGACATCTGTGTTCAAGGCCTCTGTCGGGTAAGTAAAGTGTGTGTTTCCATTCTAGTCGAAGGGACTTGAAGAATAATGTTATCCTCCTATTTCTAGAACAGATGTGGCCTCTGTTTCTTCAGAACATATTCCTGTGAGTTCTAATAGAGCTGTATTTTAGGTCATGCTGCTGACTTTGTTGTGGAGCAGTTCCCTGTGTCCTGGTGGTACACATCCATAATCCAAGCACTCAGGAGGCCAAGGCAGGCCAGCCTGACCTCCGTTGCTAGACCATGTCTCAAGAAATAAAAATGACTCACAAAGTATTAACACGGCTGGCTTCGTTTTGCCTCTCGTACCCCGGATCAGCATTAAAGATGAGATCAGTTTCTTAAACAGGTAGAAAAAGAATGGGCTTAAGGCTAGAAAAGTGCTATTGCTACCTCAGAAGTGAACTTCCATAGTGACGTGTGTCCCACATCTGTATTAAAACCATTGATTTCTTTCCTCCCCTTCTCTAGCCCTCTGGTTTTTATTTCCTTTACACATGTAGCAAACACTGACTGAGTAGTTAGATGTCAGATACTGTCCAGGTGACCACGACTAACGATGGGCTGGAGCTTCTGCTTCCAGGATGGTGCACACAGACTTGGGATGTTAGACATGCAAGCAGAGTGCTGTGAGTGGGATCATCAGCCAGACACCTTGGAGACACTGAGGAAGGGTGTTTCTGTTTTACCAGTAGGTAAAGGATTCAGGGACGTTTTGATGTAACATAGTGATGATGAGATTTTAGAAAAGCAAAGGAGATCAGAGTGGGAATCAGGCACAAGCAGATTTGATGCATACTTTCCATCTGAGTTTCTTGGAGATTCACATAAGAATTTGAAGTGGAAGGAGAGGTGTGATTTGCTTTGTGTGTTACAGTCTTCAGAACGTCCTTGATTTTAAGATAGGCAGGTGGACCGTTGAGCAGGATGCTCGGTGTGCAAAGGAGACCTGCCCTGCACCCGAAGACTGCAGGTGCTGAGCTTGAGCCTGCAGGCGGCTGTCCAAGAAGGCCCGTAGCGAGCGCAGTCCAAACTATACAGTTATGAGGCCATTCCCGTGGTTGAAGAGCAGCTTACTATGACTGATTTCATCTCCCTGTGACCAATCAGTGGTTCCTATCTGTTGCCCAGGCAACCGGCCTTACATTCACAGGACTAAAGAGATGCTCAGAGACTGAACCTGCGCTTTGGAAATAGCTTAAATAGTGCGAGAAGGTGCCTTGTTCATTTGATCAAGCAACATAGGCAGATGAAAGTTTTCTTTAAAAATGGCAGAGATGATATATGAACATATAGATGAAGTCCACTTTCAGAAAACACAACTGAAACTTTTTATTATGTAACTATTTGACTTGTGTATCAAAAAAAAAAAAAAAATCGTGTGCTGAGCCAGCAAGATGGCTCCGTAGGCTCTACCAGGCCTGATGACCTGAGTTCAGTCCCCATAGCCCACCTAGTGGGAGGACAGAATGAGCCCCAAGTTGTTCTCTGAGGTACAAACCCTGTTCCCTCCTCCCAGGCCTGATGACCTGAGTTCAGTCCCCATAGCCCGCCCACCTAGTGGGAGGCCAGAATGAGCCCCAAGTTGTTCTCTGAGGTACAAACCCTGTTCCCTCCTCCACTGAGTGAATAAACTAAAAAAGAAATTCATGTGATGTGTGAAATTTTCTCTTCTGGCATTCTCGTCACAGGGCGAGTTCTTTGCGTTAAGCACGTCAAGCGGGAAGAGCGCCTCTATGGAGCAAACTGAGCTTTTCTCAGACATCCCTAGGATGTACCCTTTACTCTTTATTTTTTACTCATTCTTTTAGTAGACAATTATACTGAGCATTAATTTTGGAGAAATAGTTTCTTTCAAGTGTTTATTTGAAACTGGGTTTATTCCCAGATTTCTAAGGCCACAGTGTTTTTTAAATGAATTACAAATGTCATCACATTTGTAATGACAGAACATATGTCAGGACATATTCCTGTGCGTTCCAGTAGAGCTGTATTTTAGGTCATGCTGCTGAGTCTGTTATGGAGCAGTTCTCTGTGTTCTGGTGGTACACGTGCATAATCCAAGCACTCAGGAGGCTGAGGCAGGCCAGCCTGATCTCTGTAGCTAGACCATGTCTCAAGAAATAAAACAAAAATGACTCACGAAGCATTAACATGGCTGGCTGGCTTCATTTGGAATACTCCAATGGGTCACTTACTGAATCATGTTTTTGTCTGTTTGAATTATATTTCTTTTTAATACATTTTTTATTTATTTATTTTTCTTTTATGTATGTGAGTGTTTTGCCCTAATGCGGGCACAATGTTGTGCAATGCCCATAGAGGCTGGAAGAGTGTCCAATCCCTTGGAACTGAAGTTACGGACAACTGTTAATGCCCTGTGAGTGCTGGGAACTGAACCTTGGTCTTCTTCAAGAGCAGCCAGTGCTCTTAACTGCCATCTCTCCAGCCCCTTTGAATTACATCTTTTAAAAATATTTTATTTATTATTTCTATTTTATGTGAGTGCACCCATGTTATGCACTGCCCGCAGAGGTCAGAAGGGGGCTTCGGATTCCCCTGGAACTGGAGTTAAGGATGGTTCATGGCCGCCATGTGGGTGCTGGGAGTCAAACCTAGGTCCTCTGCAAGAGCAGTCGATGCCCTTAACTGCTGAGCCATCTCTCCAGCCCCGAATTACACTTTTTAAAGGATGATTTTCAAGTGATGGTAGACTATAGAATCACTGTCACCACGTAGATCACAAATGTTTTCCCCCAAGAAAAATCTCTGAACCCTTGAAAGACATTACTTTTTCAATCCTGTGAACAAATTTTGTGAAAAGATACTGATGCACACCAGGATCAGTAGATAACTCTTGAGAGACTGTGTTGGACCAAATCTGTTAATTGAAGTAATCTTTTGGAGAACTCTGTATAGTGCCTGCATCTTGCTTAGATTGAGTTGCTTTGATGTGAACAATGATGATTGTGTTTTGAAGCAAGCTGGCTGTGATCACGTGTTAAACTCCAGGGCCAGGAGAGACAAATGTGGCGTGTGTGGTGGAGATAACTCTTCATGCCGGACACTAGCAGGTGTCTTCAACAGCGCGCATTACGGTAAGCTGTGTTTACGTCTGGTCTCACCTTTTATTTGAGATAGTACTGTAGTATGTAGTGAAGGCACAGTGGGAATTTTTTGTTATCGTTGTGTGCCCTTTGCACCCCAGTCCAAAATGATTGCACAAAAAAATTTCCCAAATGAAAAAATATGCCTGATACACCCATAAATTAATGAATTCATTACCCAAGATGAATCTAAGTCTGTTTTTATTTGTTTTGTGTTTGAAACAGGGTCTCACATATCCCTGGCTGGCCTCAAACTTCTGCTCTTCCAGCCTTCTCTGGTACTGACATTACAGGCGTGCAACATCACGTCCAATTTGGGCTGCGCTGGGGTCAAACTCAGGGCTTCACCTGTAACAGGAGAACCCTCTGTCAATTGAGAACATCCCCGACCCCAAATCTTATTCTGGGAAAAACATTTGATGCATCTAAGAGAATAAGTCCAGTGGTATTTGACCGTGGTGTGCGGGTAGTCCCGCAAGTGCGGGAGACCTTTTAATGATGCTCCTGTAATGTAAAGTATATTTATGGCTTTCCCCAGAAAACTTTCTTTCAGTTATTTTCATCATTTGAAACACTTGGGGGCAGGCTGAGGAGAGACTATAACCTGGTCTCTGTGTTGTATTTGTTATTGATATGATATTGAAAATGTTGATTGGAGAGAAAGGGTAAATATTGAACTTGAATATTGGCTTATAATTACCAACAGCATGTTGGTAATTGATTTTAGTTCTAATGGACATTTGGCCATGATTTCAATTTTACTGAAAATTGTTAATGCCTCAGACATTTTTCCATTCTAAAATTTACTGGGAAAGTTTTTTTTCTTTTAATGATAACAAAAACAAAACTTAAAATTTCCTTGTGAAGATTTATATAAATTTATATCCTATAGGTTTTTTTTATTTTTCAACATTGAATTGTGTTTGTATATTTGAGCATACGTTATTGTTAATTACTTCAATTAAAGAGGTATAACTTGAGGACTGAAGAGCTGGCTCAGCAGTTAAGAGCACTGGCTGCTCTTGCAGAGGATCTGGATTCAATTCCCAGCACCCACATGGCAGCTAACAACTGTCGGTAACTCCAGTTCCAGGGGAATCCTGACGCCCTCTTTTGACTTCCAGAGGCATTGCACAGTGCAGGTGCACTTAACAAACATGCAGGCATATATTCATACACATAAAATAAAAATAATAAAATATTTTTTTAAAAGATGTATAACCTGAGACTCAAAATTCATAGCTTAACCTCCACAGGAGGCACAGTGCATTGTATCTTCTGATGTGCTGGTGATGGTCATGAACGTTCCGTACTGATCCCTGTGCTCCTTTTTTCATGGTTGCACATTTCCTGGGAGCTACAATCCTTGGATCCCTGTCCATAACCAGAGACACACACTTGTGGTAGACTGCATTTACTAAGAAAGTGTTTTTCCAATACAGAATCACATATAATCAAATTAGAATTAAATACTTAACCTTGTGAAAATGGTTTTGCAGTTCATCAGTTTTCAGAAGGGAAACCCTGTTCTATCATGTTCAGGACCGAGTAACACTGGCCACATCTGCCCCCTGGTGGTCGCCTTCACCTTGTCACCTTTTCTGTGCCTTTGACTTGCTTATACTAAAAAGATGGAATAGCTCTCTGTTCAGCTCCTTGGCCCATCTTTTAATTGGGTTACTTCTTGTCTTGATTCTCTGTTTTTTGAGTTCGTTGTATATTCCTGATGTTAAACCTCTGTCATATGTGTCCCTGGTGAAGATTTTCTCCCATTCTGTGGGTTTTCTCTTCACTTCCCTGGTTGCCTCCTTTGATGTACAGATGCTTTTCAGTTTAATGAGGTCTCATTTGTTGATTCTTGACCTTGTTTCCTGGGCAGCTGATGTCCAGTTTAGAAAATCCTTTCCTACACCTTTATCTTGTAGGTTTTTGCCAATGTTTTCTTCTAACAGTTTCAAGAGTTTCAGGCTTCACGTTGAGGTCTTTGATCCATTTGGAATTGACTATTTTTTTTTTAATTTTTATTTTATGTGTATTGCCTGCATGTAGGTAAGCGCACCCGTGTCGTGCAATGCCTGCGGAGGTCAGAAGAGGCTGTCGGATCCCGTGGGACTGGAGTTACCAACAGTTGTTAGTTGCTGTGTGGGTGCTGGGATTCAAACCCAGGTCTTCTGCAAGAACAGTCAGTGTTCTTAACTGCTGCGCTGTCCCTCCACCCCTCCTGTCTTGTCTTCTTTTCTCAGTAATCTAAGGGTTTTTTTGTTGTTTTTTTTGTTTTAAGCTCAAGGACTGTTTATTAGAGTTTGAAAGAAAGCTGCAGGTGGAGCTGCTTCTGGGAAGAGGGAAGTAAAGGTGTGGGCGAGAGAAAGCCTTGTCTATAACTCTGTAATACAGTTTAAAATCTGGTATAATAATGCCCCCGGCATTGCTCTTAGTGCTCAGGGTTGCTTTGGCTATCCGAGGTCTTTTGTGTTTCCATATGGACAGATAGGCTGACTAGATTCACCAGATGGGCAAGTACTGGGGAAAGGCTGGGGGTGCCAACAACACAGCAGACAGTGGCAGGGATATCAGAGTATAAGGGCTCTAGTGGGAGGAGGAGGCAATGGGAGGGTGCCATCTAGGAAGTGGGTATATAGATGAATAAGATTGTTTGGGATGTTCTGTGTGATATACACACACAAAAAATTAACAAATTTAAAAAATGAGTTATATTTGAAGAAGAAGCATAAAAATTTACATCATGTTAATTAGTAGAGGTGATAAACATTACCATTGAAATCTACCCGATGATTTTATATCCATACACATGTGCCAAGGATCCGAGTGCAACCGACCATGACTAGTAATAATCACATACATACAGATTAGAAACGCATGCACCAACATCTAAGTGTTATTTGTAAAAACAATGAGTCTTTCTGTCAGAAACAGTATATTTTAAAATGAAATGGAGATCTTTTTTAAAGGTGAAAAACTCATTCAATTTTATCTCTTATGGGGTTTATACTGAGTTCAATATTGTATAACTGTATTAATTCAACTGTGAACCTAAAAATTTTGTAGCCACTTTTGAAAGAGATGTATCTTTGCTCTGGAAACTGTTACTGAGTATGTTAAAGCTGTAATGAAATGCTGCTTCTAATTTAAAAAAAGGCGGGGGGGAGTAGCAAAAAATAGTGGAATAAACTGGTGGGAATGTTTTATGGCGCTGAGTCACTGATTACCCTTAATCTTGGAGATTACAAACTGCAGCCAGTGTGTACGGTACATATAGAACTGCGCACCCCTTATCTCAAAATGATGCCTTCAGTCAGGCTTCTCCAAACATGCAGGGTGACCCGGCATATCTTTAAAACAAACACACTCATGCTACAGTCTTTTCAAATCTAATACACAAGAAAAATTACAGCTTCCGTACTCACATACTAAACTCAGGCAGTCAATTAAAAAGGACAAGGAAAACCTGGGATATCATCTCTAGAGGTTTCTAGACATCTAAGCAAAATGACTATTTTTAGAGAAAATAGTTATTTTTTAATGTTATTTTATCTTTATTTAGCTTGTTTATTTTATCCAGTGTTTTGTCTTCATGTAGTACCAGTATTGCTGAATTTGGCCTCGTCAAATAGAGATACCACTTTGATTTCTACTCCAATAAACTTTCTACTTTTCTCATAACAGATGTCGATAGACTTTAAAATTGGTGGGTAAATATGGGAGTTCCAGTTTGAAGTAAATACTAAAAGCTTAAGAAAAACATGAGATTTTTAAAAAAATTATTTGTCAATATTGGTATTTGCTGCTACTGAGTCTCAAATAACATATATCAGCGACAGTCATATTAATAGCCCTGGATCTGTGACTAGCATTTGAAATTCTAGGTCCCCCCAGTAGAAAGTATGAAATATAATCTATTAGCTCAACTTAAAAATTCTCTATGGTCAGAACTTTAGAGGTAAGAAAAAAGTGAAGATATGTTGGACGTTAAGTGGTCTAGAACACTAATCTGCTTACAGAGGACTGAGTTTGATTCCTAGAACCCATAGCAGGTGACTCACAACCACTTGTAACTCCAGCTCCAGGGTGGCTGATGACTGCTTCTGGCCTCCACAGGCATCTGCACACATGTGACATTTATTCACACAGACGCACATATACAATATAAAAGAAAAAAGTAAAAATAAAATCTTTCAAAAAAAGAATCTCAAGGTATCTGCATCTCTTGACAGCTACCTTCAGCTCAGTCACCTGTGACTTGTTAAGGCATTTATTCAAAAGGAAAAACAACTGCATTACATTTTAAAGGTTAAAAATCAAATCTGGGGAGCTGGAGAGATGGCTCAGCAGTTAAGAACACTGACTGGTCTTACAGAAGACCCGGGTTTGAGTCCCAGCACCCACATGGCAGCTAACAACTGTCTGCAACTTCAGTCCCAGGGGATGGGACAGCCTCTTTTGTCCTCCACGGGCATTGCACGACACAGGTGCACTTACCTACAAGCAGGCAATACACGCATACACATATAATAAAAATAATAAATTTTTAAAAATTAAATCTGGGTCTGGAGAGATGGCTCAGTGGTTAAAAGCACTTGGCTGCTCTTGCAAGGAAGGACCTGCAGTCAGTTCCCAGCACCCACATGGAGGCTCACAATTAATTATCCATAACTCCAGTTCCAGGGGATCAGATACCTTCTTCTGACCCTCCAGGGACTTATACACCCGAGTGGTGCATTTACATGCATGCAGTCACACTCAGAAAGAATGAATGAGTGAATGAGTAAGTAAATCTAGGACATCCATTCCTGTTTTTCAGTCATTCAATAGTAGCTGAATGAATATTTGCTTTTTGTGAAATTTAACATGGACAAAACTGTGTTGTAGGATACAATGTCGTTGTAAAGATTCCCGCAGGAGCAACAAACATTGAAATTCTCCAGCACAGCTATTCTGGAAAACCAGAAGATGACAATTACCTCGGTAAGCATTTTTAATAGGCAGCAGCTGATACCTGGCTTGTGTGCGATTTCATGGAAGTCTGTGGTTGATGTAACGCTGTGGAAGACAGCAAGAGATCCCCACGAAAGCAAGGCCTGGCCTTGTACTCGCTTCCGTCATCTCTGTCTCTGGACATAGGTTCTTCTTAAGCTGGACAAAATGTATCATTTTAGAAGGGAAAAAAGAAATAATGGAAAATTAGTTTTTAGTTTATTCTCAGAGATAATCAAAATTTGTATTCAGTTAAAGCTGCATGTGTTTTCAGAATAGAATACTGTTCTTTTCTAATGTTCATTATTCTTCTGAGGTTTGATGATTTAAATAGTTTCCTTTGATGTTTTGACTATTACATCATGTGACATTGCTATGCCAACATTACAGTTCTAGCCGAATAAACAGCCTGACTTAGTTATAAGAGCACAAATTTGGATCCACCTTTATATTATCAGGAAATCTTCCCCTTTGATCCCTAGGTCCAAAATAGCTCATATACAAAATAAAATATCTCATGCATACAATATGCTGTGTTCAGCATCTTGATTCTAATTCAAGCATACCCACATTCATTCATTACTTCGGAAAAAGGACAAATTGAGCTTCCAAACAATCACCATCAGGTGCCCAGGTCACAAGCGCACCGGGCTCAGTGAGCTTGTTTGCACTATAAACAGTATCTTTTGGGTACAGGGTTGAGTAAAAGGCATTAGTCCAGATTCTGTCCATTTGGTAAAGGTCACTGCTACAGCGTTAGTTACTGTTGCTGTGATAAGCATCGAAGCAGTGTAAAGAAGGAATCGTTATCAGGCTTATGGGGGAATAGAGCCCATCACCAGGAGGGAGGCACAGAAACTGGGGCAGAGAGCTGAGCGCACACGTCTTCAGCTGTGAACAGGAAGCTGGAAATGGGCCCTGAGGTCCCACAGCCACCCCAGTGATGTGCTTCTTCAGTCACGTCACGTCTCCTCAACCTCCCAAACAGCACCACTACTGGTTCCGGGGATTCATATACTAGGAGTCTTTGGGGGGCATTTTCATTCCTCGGAGCCAATGCTTGAATTATATGTAACCCATCAAACCGGAGAAGGTGATAGCCAGCTGGTACTGAGGATTTATCTGCTTCAAATTAATAAAGTGTGAAATATTGGCCTGTATAACTGATACTGATAACTGGGAATGTGACTCTGTTATGAGCTGGTCATTTCAGAAATTACAGTTCCTATTATAATGACAAATGTAAAAGTGCCTGTTTAATGGGTAAAGGATTTCTTTTGAGGATGAAAAGTTAGACTTTTGCAATAATTAACCATCTAGACCTGACTGCTCAGCATTGCAAATGTGCTAACTGTTGTTGACACAAGAGTGTCAAGAGTGCTGTTCACTTAAGAGTGTTCATTTATGCTGTGTCACTTTCACTGTGGTGAATGCCAAATGTTCCCTGAAGAAAACTGAATGCATATGTTTTATTATCCTTTAGTATTCAGTTGATACTATTTTTCTCTTCCTAAAAATGTTGTCTAGGTTCATAGACAAAGATGTATTCTAACATAATGAGGATTAATTCATGTGGCCAGTCTTGACTTCCATATCTTCTGGGAATGGAGCACATCTTCAAGTTTAAATTTTTTTAAATGTTCCACTGGGCATGTTGGCTCTCACTTTAAATCCCAGCATTTGGGAGGCAGAGGCAGGCAGATCTCTGTGAGATCAAGGTCAGCCAGGTCTACATAGCAAGTTCCAGGCCAGCTGGGGCTGTAGGAAGACCTTGCCTCTAAAAACAAACAAGGCTGGAGAGATGGCTCGGTGGTTAAGAACACTGACTGCTCTTGCAGAGGAGCCAGGCTCAATTCCCAGCACCCACATAGCAGCTAACAACAGTCTGTAACTCTGGTTCCAAGGGAATCCAATGCCATCTTCTGACCTCCATGGACATTGTATGACATGGGTGCACTTACATACATACAAGCAATATACTCATACACATAAAATAAAAATAAGTAGAATATTAAAAACAAACAAATTTAAATGTTCAATAAGGTATCTAATGTGTAATTGAGCTATAAATAGAAATATCACTCTAATTGAAAATGAGAAAGATTGACACATGAATCACTAGAAAATACCTTGAAATTTATTTTTTTGAGAATTTCACACATGCGTATAATATTTTGCTCAAATCCATGCCACTCTCTCCCCTCCACTCCTATAGCCTCCCCAGCACTTTTCCCTCCCAACTTCATGTACTCTGTTTGAGTCCACTTAGTGCCGCTGGTATGTGCACGTATGTGCATGGGTGCAAGGCCATCCAGTGGTGCGTGTGCAGCGTGAGAGAGTGTCTTACCCCTGAAAACCCTGACATCCTCCCTCCCTGAGCAGTCATCAATTGCCGGCACTCCTCAGCTAGGGGCAGGGGCGTTGTGAGTCTCTCTGGCATCCGTGCTGGTATTTTGGCCAGCTTGGGCTTCTGTAAGTCTTGTGTATTCTGTCACAGCTCAAGTGGGTTCATTTTAAAAAGAACCAATAGTTGCAAAATGTGCACGGATTTTTGTTAAGTTTTTCCCCCCCTTTTAGTACAACCCATGCTCCCTTAAATAGCCCTTTCTGCATTTGAAAATGATCAGATTCTTGCACAGAGAAATTTGTTTCACAGTATAAATATTGAACTTGATTTGTTCTTTAGTGTAATTTGTGAAGATACTTAAACTATCCCCCCCCACAACATTTCACTTGTTCTTTTAAAAATATCTTATTATGTTTTAATTTTATGTGTGAGTTATTGCCTGCATATGTGTAAGTTTACCTGTGTTGTGTAATGCCTGTGGAGGCCAGAAGAGGGTGTAGGATCCCCTGGAACTGGAGTTGCTGATGGTTATTAGCTGCCATGTTGGTTCTGGGACTGAAGCCTGGGTCCTTTGCAAGAGCAGACAGTGTTCTTAATCGCTGAACCATCTCTCCAGCCCCATTTAATTTATTCTTTATCATTCCTGTAAAGATTACTTTTTCGAAGCCGGGCATGGTGGCACACACCTTTAATCCCAGAACTCAGGAGGCAGAGGCAGGTGGATCTTTGTGAGTTTGAGGCCAGCCTGGTCTACATAGTGAATTCCAGGCCAGCTGGGGCTACAAGGAGACGTGTCTCAAAAAGACAAAAAATTAAAAAGAAATTTTTTAAAAAGATTACTTTTTCGGGGCTTGGAAAGGTGGCTCAGTGGTTAAGAACACTGGTTGTTCTTGAAGAAGACCCGGGTTCGAATCCCAGCACCCACATGGCAGCTAACAACTGTTGGTAACTCCAGTTCCAGGGGATCTGACAACCTCTTCTGACCTCTGTGGGCATTGCACGACACGGGTGCCCTTACCTACATGCAGGCAATGCATGCATATTATTGTTTAGCCGTAAGGAAATGGTGTTTTTTTGGTGAGGTTTCCTGGGATGCTAAGAAAATATTTTCTTCATGGTTTCTTTTCAGATTCCATCAAAAACTATAATGTAAATTAAAAGCAAATAGAAAAGTACTTGACTGATACAGGGGTTTTATTAACATGTATTGAAAGCTAAACATAAATAGGATAGTGCTGTAAAATTGGCATACTTTAACAAGTATTTTACAGATTTGATTCTGGTTAATAGCCTGTTAGGATAGAAATTTTCATTAACTCTATTACGTAGTTTAGGAAACTGACCAAGAAGCTTACCTAAGATGATATAGCAATGAGCTGGAATCACTTGAACATGGTTTTACCAAATCCTTTTGTCTCCTTACTCCCACACTGATGTGGACATTGTGCAACTTTACATCTAAGGATACCAAATTATTTATGTATTGTATTATTGTTTTATACGTGTATGTACATGGTATAGCAAATTATGTATATATTATCATTTTATATGTGTGTGTGCATGGCATATAAATACACATACATGTACATACATCACAGGGTACTTAGATACCCTAACAAACATAACAAAAGAGCTCACAGCTCAAGGATACAGTCCATCACCCCAGGAAGTCCTGGCAGCAGGAGCCTGGAATGCTGGTTCCCTCATACCCACAGCCAGGAAGCAGAGAGGGACGATTGCTAGTGTACAGTGAGCTTCCTCTTTTTTATGCAGACCAAGCCCTGCCCAGAGAATGGTGCTACCTACTGTTAGTCTGGCTCTTCTCACCTCATTGTACCCACTCCAGATACTCCCTCACAGGCATAGCCACAGGCTATCCTAATCTAGATAGCCCCTCACAGATGTGCTAGGAAGTTTGTCTCCTAGGTGATTCTGTATACCATCAAGTTGATAATCAATATTGACCATCACTCAGGCTTATATGAATGCTTGCCAATAGGAGAGAAAACACGTAAGGGGACTGACAAAGGAAGATGGCAATATTGTTTTGAAAACAGATATTCACATGTATCAACAGTGATGCAGTGCCTCTCTATGAAGAACTGTGGGCATTTATACAGAGAATGGTGTAGTCATTGCCTGGTCTTTTAAAATACTGCCTAGTCTTGATCCAGTGCTCACACATGGTTAAACTAAATGGATCGCAAAACAAAACCCAAAGTCATGAATCTGGCAAATTAGCTGGTAGAGAGGAGGGGGGAGGATAGGGATGGGAAGGTGTTAGGAGGCATGATGGAAGAACGAGTTACATTCATGGATGAACTTGTCAGAGAACTAAATAAAAAAGGGCCTTAAAACTTTAAAGCTTTGCGTATTTTTGCCCAAATTAAGCATAAATCCATGCAGTTTGGCTATCCCATGAGGCTGGGATTGGGTGACTGCTCTGTACATTGGGGTTCTTGTTTCTCTTGCTTTGCAACTTCCTGTTTGTCCTTCCCTGGCTTCCTGCCTCTGAGAAGGTGACCTCTCACATAGGGTAAATTTGTTGTAATATGTGTGGCTGGTGTGCTGAAGTTTTCTCACTTGCAGATTAGAGGCCGTAATGAGATAAAATAGTTTATTGCCCTAGTTTCAATTTATATGTACTTTCTTTAGAGTCAGAAAAAAATGTGAATTTTAAAGAAGTTGAGTAATGCTGACGTCACTCTCTCGTCTTTTTATGGATTTACAGCATTATCTGACACTCAAGGGAATTTTCTTTTGAATGGAAACTTTGTTGTAAGTATGTCAAAAAAAGAAATCAACATCCAAGGAGCTATTTTTGAATACAGTGGCTCAAACAACTCAATTGAAAGAATTAACAGTACAGATCAGCTGGAGGAAGAGCTTGTTCTGCAGGTAGGTGTTGTGTAGTCGCTAGGAGAGAGCTGCACCCTTATTCCTGAACTGTTGCAGTTAAATGCATAGCATTTATTATTAAGTATAAAATTCTGTCATAAGAACATGCCTTTTATAAATTAATTGTATGTATTTCTGTATTTTTATTGAGGTGCTATGTGTGGGTAATTTATACAACCCTGACGTACACTATTCCTTCAACATCCCTGTGGAGGAGAGGAGTGATCTGTTCTCCTGGGATCCATATGGGCCGTGGCAAGACTGTACCAAAATGTGCCAAGGTACCTGGCCTTAAATAAGAGACCCAAGTTTGACTGGGCATGCTGGTGTCATTTGGGTCCTTTAAAGTCTGGCTGGCTGTTGAATCGTCCGTACCTAGGGCACACGGGCACGTGTCCCCCGGGCACACGGGCACGCAGCAGATGTGTATCTTTCCCCTTAACTTTTCCAGTCTCTGTCTTTTCAATATTTTCCATCGCTGACTGTTTCCGTTCTCATGATCATTTTCTCGTTTCCTCCCTCAGTCTCTTCTTTTCAGCACATGAGCATTTTCTTAAAATTTTAATTTACCCCCTGCTTCCTAGATTAGTACCTACCCTCTCATCCCGCACCCTCCACGCACTGTTTCTTAACAACTGATCTTATATTTTTGAGAAGGCAAACATCAATAATTCTTTCATTTCTCTTCCTTGAACATGAGGAAATATATTCGTATCAATGATTTGGGAAACTGAAAGGATCAGAGAGAAAAACAGCAAAGTAGGAAAATTTATATTAGAGAAAAAACAGAAAGGGTGGGATCACTGTGCAGCCTGGAATTGTGGGTGTTTGACAGTATGCTCAGTGCCATCCACATTTATTGAGGGACTGTTTTGTTTCAGATTAATAAGACCACAGTTCTGTATTCAGGTTTTAGAGTCTGGCTGGTGCAGCCCAAGTTTGAGTAAATGTCATGATGTAACTATGATGCCACAGCTCTTTGCAAAGATTCCCACAGAAAAGTTGGAGGAGGGGGTTGTTCAGGGTTGAAACTGAGGTACAAAGTTTGTATAGAATGGGGCACAACGGGGAGCAGTGGGTTAGAGATAGTGCAGCTAAGGAAAGTTAGTGACCACAGTGGCCCTGGATGGTGAGGAATAGTTCAACCATGCCACCTGATGGGTGCAGAAGGAAAAGTGATACTCCTCCCAGAAAAAGCCAGTGTCTCAGTCATCTGGATTTGGAGCAGTGCTGCTCAGAATGACTTCGGGGAATGGACATTCCCGTTGCTGCGTGGGGCAGGATCTCAGGGAGGTGATACAGTCGTGGGTGACTATCAACTGATAAATGCTGGAATGGAAGGAACCAAACACTGGCAGGTGGGGGAAGTTCAAGGATTCACTTTGATGGGAAGGCCGTGGGTGCACTTTGCAGTGGACAAGTGGAGTTTGGGGACCTGGGACCAGCAGTCATGCAGTGGGTGTATAAACGGGCCTATGGCTGTGGATTTGGGAAGCTAGAGTGACAATACAATACAGCAGGCAGATGAAGACAAATTCTAGGGTGCAGTGGATACCCCAAGCGAGGAATAATGTGCTTCTGAGAGGTGGCAATATACGAGACATGGTGGGCGCCCAAACCAGGGGAGCCTTGACAGCCACGTGCAGGAGGGTCGCTGTTCGTTCTTTTGCCTTGTAGGTTATGACGATCACATTCCTGTTGGATGTAACTTTTTAGTTTGCTTTCTTCTTACTCTGTGTATAAAAGTTATCAGTCCTCAAGCTTTTAGACTAGCTGTAAATTTATCAGTGTCTTTCTTAGTTATTTTTCAGTTCTATTTTCCTTCCGTTGACGAACTTTAGGGTTTCTTTTTTTGCTCTTGTACTGAAGAAGTTGTTCCTTTAGTCTCTGTGTGACTGTCTCCTTGAGATAACCTTCACTGTTATGCTGGAAATTCCCTTCAGCTTTTCTTTAATCTCATGAGGTCCTCGTGAGGTGAAATAAAGACTGCAGTGTTTTACTAAGAGGGAAAGGCAGTTGTTGAGACTTTTCTGAAAATACCATCATTTGAATCTCTGCTTGCCTAAAACTAATTGGTATAAATTCTAACATGATTCCCCTTTAAAACTTCAAAAGCTTTGTCCTTTGGCTGGTTCTTGGCTCATTCCTTACTTTTCTGGGCTTGTGAGGGGATGTTTTATGGGTGTCCTTAGTTCTCGTTGGAAAGTGGAATGTGTACTTCATACTGGTATTCGTTCTTGTCTGTTTTCCTGCATAATTATGACAATCCGGTTTGAAAACAGATTTTTTTGTAAAATTATATTGAATTATGTGTATTTCCTACAGAACATTTTAATCATCTTTAGATCCACTTCCCCATCTACCCCCTCCCATAGTTTCTACTCACTGAATTGCGTGCATTCTCTCATTTGTGTTAAGGCCTATCATGCCAAGTTAGTGTCCGAAAATGTTCCTCAGTGCAAGCTCATTCTCTGAGGCCTAGTCAGCCCATCTCGAGACCCACTCTTCAGGAAGCTCAGCTCTTCCTCACCCAGCAGTAACCAGCTGCCAGTAGTTCTTCAGCTAAGATTGGAGTCTGCTGCCCATGTCCACAGTTCTGTGCTGGGTTTTTGTCTGCTTAAGTTTGCGTGGGTCTTGTGCATACTGACACCGTTGCTGTATGTTCATATGAGCACAGTGGTTTGTAAGACTGCTTCCATACGGTCCTGCACCTCTTCCCTGCCTCTCACAATCTTTCTTCCCCCTCTTTCACAGTGGTCCCTGAGCCCATATAGGAGTCCTGTCCAAGGACCCACACTCTGCAGATTCTTATTCTCGATGCTTTGGGCCATTTGTGACCTTTTGTGTTTCATTGATGAGAGTTAAAAGATGCATTCATATTCTTTCTACCCCTCGGTCCACTCTGTTCTGTGAGCCTTAGGTGTGGAAGTTGCATTGTAGATGTGTCACTTAGGATTGGACAATTCAAAGATAATCTATGTGTGTGACCAGTTATGGATCTTTGTAATAGTCTCCATCTGTTGCAAAAGAAGCTTCTTTAATGAGTGGTGACTAGGATACTTGTCTGTAAATATAAGGATCCATATTTAGCGTATAGTAAGAAATTATATCTGTCTAGGGATGTGACAGCCCTTAGGTTTTCTCTAAGATCTCTGACCTCTCCTGTCATGTATATTTGGCTAGGTTTACAGTACCACACATGACTTTCCTCCCATTGAGTGGGCTTTAAGTCTAGTTAGGTAACTGTTGATTACCCCCAAGATAAAAGTGCCACTACTTCCCCAATATAGTTTGCTGTGCCAGTCATTGTTGTGGTTATTAGGCCTTAAAGCTGGAGTTGGACCATTCATGGATTGATGTTCTCCCTTAGCAGCTTGCATAGTGCTCTCTATAACTATGAGAGCCAGCCTTCAGGGAGGAGCTTCCAGGTCAGTTCCAGCCCCCTTGCTCCAAGACCTGTTTCCGAAGTTTATCCTATCTTCAGTAGTAGAGTCTTACCTTCAAGTTCTGGGAGGAAATCAAGTGCTGTGGCAATAGCCTGTAAAATTTTGGAAGTCTCTTGGACCACCCTGGCCAACAACACAAAGGGAGATTTCTCCTGCCTGGCACTGTTTCTTGTTATACAGCCTTCAGCTGTACACATGGGCTTGTGTAGAGATATTGTGTGTGTAATTTTTCAGTAAGTTTTTTGGACTAATACAATTTTCTCTGTTTTTGTTACACTAGCTAGGCATTGTTTCTCTCTCCTCTCTCTCCCTGTCCAGTCCTCCCCCCCAGCCCTCCCCAGTTATTGGACATTTTTAATCATTTTCTCAAACTAATTTTTCTCTTTGTCTTTCTAAAATTTATATTATTTGAAAGTTCAGTCTATTTTTTTTTTAATTATGTATGAGTGTATTGCCTACATGGTATATAATTGCACCCATGTCATGCAGTGCCCACAGAGGTCAGAAGAGGGCATCAGATCCCCTGAAACTGGAGTTTTGGATGGTTGTTAGACACCATGTGGGTGCTGGGAACTGAACCCACGTCCTCTGCAAGAGCAGCCAGTGCTGTTAACCACTGAGCCATCTCCAGCCCCAAAGCTCAAGCTCCTTAATGGAGCCCCTTTTCTTAGTTCTCGTCAACCCTGTTGTTTCATTAATGTTCCTTAGCATTGTGTTTTCTGGGGCTGGAGAGAAGACTCAGCGGTTAAGAGCACTGGCCGCTCTTGCAGAGGACCAGGGTTTGGTTCCCAGCACCCACAGGGCAGCTGACAACCATCCATAACTCCAGTTCCAGGGGATCTGACACGCTCTTCTCTACTCTGCAGGCGTTGCTCACATGTGGTGCATTTAATACATGCAGGCAAAATACACATGACACAGTGAAGTAGGCACTGTGCTCTTCTTTCATGGCTGTGACACTTCCCTCACACCTCCAGGGACTGCCTCACCCTCTCGATCTGTTCTGCTCCCTCATACCCGTTTCATCCTCTTTCATTCTATTGGGCTTTGCTTCTTTTCGTCTCTCATCTGTTAGAGACTTCCTAAAATGTCTGCTGACATTTTGCTGTTTATTCATATTTAAGAAATGCTAAAATACTGATTGAAAGTGGTTCAGACAGAAACATTGCGGAGCAGATGCTAATGTCCATTGATCTTTCTTTTGGGGGTTAAATAGTCCCCCAAGACAGGAACTCTTCCATCCTCTAATGGTCATGGTGGAGTTAGGGGAAATAGAAGTATCCTCCTGGGGCCAGAGAGCATGGAGAGTCCAGTGGACTGGGGTGTCATCACTGTGTGAGAACTAAGTACTTAGTCACCCTGTTTCAGTCCCGTTTGCCCATCTTTCATGTGTCTGCAGGTTCTCATTGGTAGAGTTGGGCTGTAAAATATGGTAGCCACCAGCCACATGTGACCAGCATATTTTAATGTGCTCTGCAAGTGAATGACCCCCTGGATAAAAGAGAGTAAAATATATTATCAGTAATTTTTATATTACTATTTTTAAATAATCAAGTTTTGTATACTCATTGTATCATTTTACATTTAATATGACTGTAAGAAATGTAAAATTGTATCATGGCTCACAGTCTGGTCCTGTTGGCTGGAAGGATAGTAGTTCCTTCAGATACACTCTGTATCACGTCATTTGTTCAGACCTACCCTCACAAAGTTGCCCTTTCCAAGGCATCTGGTGTCTTTGATTCCTGGGCCTTTCTTGGATTCTGTGTCACGAATGATTTATTTCCTACTCTCTGTCTCCGGAAGACCGGGTTTCATCTTCGTTGACTTTGTTAATTAAGTAGTTTTACTATTCACTTTTTATCTTCAAAAGTTCGTCTTCCTGTTTTGTTTTGTTTTTTTTTTCTTTCATTCATTTACATATATACCTTTTCAAAACTGTTATATCTAGTTAAAGAGGGTTTAAGATCGATCAGAGATAAACATATGTTTGTGTTTAGTTAACCGTAAGTACAAAGTTGAGCACTGACAAACAAATTTGATCATGTCACCGACTGCTTAAACTGCTCACCGTCTCCTCGTTGAAGAAGGTGTAGATTCAGAGTGGGCCAGGCTTGGAGAAAACTGCTCCTACTTCGCTCTGACTGTGGCTAAGTTGCAAAGAAATAGCTGCTGCATCACCACAGAATAAAATAAAGGTCATTTATTGATCAGACCATGTTCACTGCTATGGCCTGCCCTGTGTAAACTAAGATCTCTGTCCATGCCATTTGAAAAATAAATGGGGACTTTATTTTTTAGAGCAACTTTAGGTTTATCAGAAAATTAACAGGAAATACAGGAAATGCTAGTCCTCCTTTTTCTTTCCCTCCTGGTCCTCCACCTCCACTTCTGTCCCCCCCATTCTAATACTAACATTTGCATTAGTTGACCTGCGATTGAAGCATTATGGGCAGCTGAAGTCTGCAGTTTATATTAGCGTTTGTTCCATGGGTTTTGACAAACGAATGTTGGCATGTTTCCACAATGCCATGCCAAACAGAGGAGGGTCACCGTCCTGACAGCCCCGCGTGCTTCACCTTCTGTTCTGTCCCCGACAGCCTGTGACTACCGACCTTTGAGTTGTCTGTCAGTGCTTTTTCCATTCATGGTGTCAGCACTATCTGGCCAGTGCTGTTCTGCAGGCAGAGGGAGGAATAGAGCTGGTTGAAACTGTCATAGGTCACATCCCTCTAGATGACACAGCCTACTGTGACGGTATAGTAGGAGAGATGGGGAAGGAAACTGTGTGGAACGGTGTCTAGTGGTCACCCAGCATCACACCGGCCCCCAGCCCTCAGCTTCCTAACAACCTCCCTGTCACGGAGATAATTTTTCTCTACTCCACACCAAGCTCACCTTCCTTTTACTAAGCAAACTCCCAATCACTGAGGACTAAGCTTTTTATAAAAAGTAGTTCCTGACCAGACTATCGCACTAGCGTATCATGTATGTGATACATTTTCTGCCTTCCTAGCTTAATCATTTATGCTAATTATTATAATTATGAAGTACTTGCTTATGTAAATTTTCCTTTAATTTTACATTTTTATCTGACTTTGTTCAAGGTCTTCATAGAAGAAAAATTGCCTGCATACGTAAGAGTGACCATATGGTTGTGTCTGATCAAAGTTGTGACCACTTACCACTACCCTTGTTTGTGACTGAGAGGTGCAATACCGACTGTGAACTAAGGTAAAAGAGAAGTAATCCATGATGTGACCAGTGTTTCCTGAAGCTGAGCCAATTGTTGATAAGACATGAGCCATTGAGCTCAGTGCCAGACACACAGCAGGCATGAATCTGTCCCTAACGTTTACAACATTCCAGACTCACTAATTTGTGATGATGCTTAGTAATTTATTCGACTTTTTATTTATTCATGGCAATGACTAAATACCAGTATGTGGTCTTAACTTTCTGTGTGCAATATGGAAGCAATTCAGTCTGAAAAGAAAAATCCCAGGTAATTCTGAAAAGCCATGATTCAGATATTTGAAAAAATGGATCCTTGTAGCATGATTCTGTAATCCCACTGAAATTAGGAACCAGTGAACATGGAATGTTTGAGAATTAGAAAATGCATAAACTAATTTCCCTGATACATTATAATTTGATTCATTACTATTCCTAGGCAATTATAAAGGGGGGAATTGACACTTCTACCCCAAATTCTAAATTCCTTAGTTCATGTGTGTGTGTGTGTGATTGCTTAATAGACTAATAGATGGTAAAAACCAATAACTGTCTTTCAATTAAAAACTTTGCGTTGTAGCAGGTGACATTTGATATTCGGAGATAACCAACACTTCTCTTTCACTCATGAAGGAGGGAATTGAAAAGCACTGTGATGTGTCTGAAGGCACATGACAAAAGGCTAGTGTAGAAATGCCTACTGAAGATACTGGGAGCACAGCGAAATCCTTCAGGGAAATGAATTTCGAGCCCCAGTCTTCCTTGTACTGGTGCGCTTATGTTGGGTGCTACATTGATAGGCTATAATTGGACAGCTTGATTAAAATTAGCGTTTTTACTTAATGAAAAATAGTTTTTCACAAACATGTTTAGAGAGAGAATACATTAATTAATTAGAAAGTGTGATATGCTTCACAAAAAAACCATTTTTCCTGCTTTCAAAGGCTTCATCTTAACTGGTATAGTCAGGTTCGGGGAGACCACTTGTTCCTATATCAGAGTATGATAGGGGAATTGTATAGGAAAAGTCAGGTATATTCAGTGGAGTCTTAAGTCAGCCACTGAGTAATTGCTAATCTTGATCAAGAGCAGATGTTTTCAAAGGTTTTTTAGTGGAACTTGTAGTTTCATGGCGCACCTCTAAAGTTGCTACTAAACGTTAGCAGGAGATCAATAGGCAGAGTGTTATTTTTATATATTTTAGAAAAAGGATTTCATTTGGAAGATAGACCACACACACATAAACACACACAGACACACAGACACACAGACACACAGACACACACACACACACACACACACACACACACTTAAACCATTGGAACCCAGTCATTTTGGGCCTCATTTTCCAATCTAAGAACTTTTTATCCCTAATTCACTGATGTGTCAAATAATTTCAGGTGGATTATCTATCACCTGTTACAATTTTAAAAAAGTTAATCATATGTCCGAGCCTCTGAATCTGTGTTAAATTCCTGTTTGTAAGCACAGCTCCCACATGTGATCATCTTTTCTCTAGGTGGCACATTACTGGCAAAAGTGAATGCTCATCAAACTGTGGTCCAGGATATAGGTCCCTGGACGTCCACTGCATGAAATATTCCATTCATAAAGGACAGGCTGTTCCAGTAGAGGACCAGTATTGTGGTGACCAACTCAAACCTCCTACTCGAGAACTATGTCATGGTGACTGTGTCATAACCAGGTGGCATTATTCAGAGTGGTCCCAGGTACAATTAAAATTATCATTAAAGAAAAATTGCTCCTCTTCACTAATTAAATTCTTATTCTCTAAAGTATATATGTTTTTGTTAGAAAAAAAATGGAGGTAACTGGAGAGATGGCTCGGTGGTTAAGAGTGTGTACTGCTTATGCAGAGGACCCAAGCTTGATTATAACCTCCTCTAACTCCAAGGGAAATTCCAATGCCTGTGGCCTCTGCAGGCACCTGCTCTCTCTCTCTCTCTCTCTCTCTCTCTCTCTCTCTCTCTCTCTCCCTCAAACACACACACACACAAACAACACTCACCACATAATACATGTAATTTGAAAAAGAAATTTGGATTTTTTTTTTTTCTACTTTGAAAAGTCACTGGATTTATTCGGTTTTTAAATCAGTGTTCCAGGAGTTGCGGAGGAGGGGAAAGGACTCGGGAGTCTTACTGTATAAATAATTTTGGCCACCGACTTGCTGAAAGAGAATGCCAAGCGCTTCCTCGGGTGATACTTGAGAACTGCAACAGGTTTTCTTGTCCCAGTTGGGCTACGAGTGAGTGGAGTGAGGTAACGTGAAACACACGAGGCTCGGTATAAATTTGAAAACCGCTAGTCCTTAAATTACTGAAAATGATCAGGCTAGTAGTAACATTTACTGATACTTAGTCTATAACCGTTATAAAAGTCAGTGGTGGTACCAAAGCATCCTGGGGTATACACGTCTTCAAAGGTTAGTTTTGAATGTAGAAGAAATGAGTATTTTAATGAGACTTGGGTGGCAGAAGTTTGGGGTGGCTGGTTTTACCCAGTGAATACCTACAGAGTAGGGGAACACTCAGAAATAATATTCCAGCTGCTTAACTTGCAAATAGACCACTGCATCGCTTTGTAACGGGTCTGTGTTACCTTCTCAGTGTCCTGTTACATGTGGAAAAGGAGCCCAGCAGAGGCAGGTTTGGTGTCGGCTGAATGATGATCAGTTGAGTGATGGCTTCTGTAATGAGAGTACCAAGCCCGAGTCTCTGAGACCCTGTGAGCTTCGCTTGTGTACTTCTTGGCACGTAGGACCCTGGGGTTCTGTGAGTATGTGATGAGGGTGTCTCTAGTCTGGCACATGTTTAAAGAACAGAAAAGCTGTGATCATTTCCTCCATAGTGGATTCAGTGAAATATAGGTTGGTTTATTATGAGAAATACATTTGTAGGGGCTGGTGAGATAGTTCAGTGGATAAAGGCTCTTGCTGCAAGTCTCTTCACCAGAATTTGGATCCCTGGAACCTATATAAAGGTAGAAGGAGAAAGATGATGCCACACCGTTTTCCTCTGACCTCCACATGCATGCCATAACATATGTATGCCCACACTCACACAGTAATAATAATAAGTAAACCGACTTTTAATAGATGCATTTCTGAAATGTAAACCCTTATTAGTGAGACTTTGACATTGCTGTGGGTAATATTTCAGCTTTGCTTTTGAATTTATTTTAACCAAAATGCTGAAAACTTTTGCTTTTATCACTTTAACAGAGTATAAATGTGCTCACGATCTGTGCTTGCATGGCTCCCTTTACTGCATTTGAGTCTCGCCAGACAGACAACCAGGAATCCCTGGGGTGAGCCAGGTGAAGGGGCGAGTTCAGCTCCCATGGAGGAGGCCACGGTTGACAGAAGGCCCTTCTCATTCTTCAGCACACACTGCCACAGGTTTACTTAACATATTAGATGGCATGCATGTATCAGTCAGAATTTTGTATTGTCTGCCACCAGAAGAGCAGGTCTTTAATGAATACTTTTACATGATAGCTTTAGGCATGACTACTGGGAGAGAGAAACACAGGGATGGGCCTCTTGGTGGGCCCAGTGGATGGACCCACATGGAAGGACATTTGGGGACACAAATATGTTAAATTGGGGAAGGGCAGTGCAGGGGAGGTATGGATAGGAGAAGGGATCAAAGTATATTATATGAAAACCGCAAAAGTTCAATAAGAATAAAAAACACTTAAAAATCAAACAACGTTTAAAAATTGTCTTAGTTTGGAGTGGTGAGATGGTTTAGCTGTCATATTTTGCTGCCAAGCCTGAAAAACTGAATTTGATCACCCTAAACCCACAAGGTGGAAGGAGACGACCAACTCTAAGTTTTCTTCTGACTTGCTCATGTGCCATGATACATATTCTCCCCAAGAATAAATAGGATATAATGAAAAATTATAAAAAAGACAACTTTAAAAGATACACTAATCATAGTACGTTTGTTAACTGCACTATTTCAGTAATACTGACACTATATACTTGAATGAGTATGCAGTGATGATAACAGTAAATCATGTTGAAGTACCTGCTTGTGACATGTCATTGTAAGGAAAGTAAATTCCCTGTCTTTAACTTAAGAAGTTAGTAGTTAATGCTAATAGCTTCATAATGAATTAAACTGTTGATAGGATCAATTTTCAAAGTATTTTATAGGCACTATTTCTAGGACAGTTGATTGAATTTATTAATTATAGGTCTCACATCTGGCATTAAGGTCTAGTAAAAAGAGTTCCTGAAAGTACATTGTTAGCTACATTTTCATTAAGAAAGTGAGACTGTGTTAATCTTGAAAAGCCATGGTTTTGGTGTCTGCCTTTTTCCTCTCAGTGCACAGCCACTTGTGGACATGGGTATCAGATGCGTGTGGTCAAGTGTGTCAGCGAGCTTTTTGGTGCCGTGCTGGATGACAGGGAATGCCAGGGATCCACCCGCCCAAGTGACAGGCAGGTAAAGGAAACCTCTTTGTGGATAAACAGAAGTATTTGCAGACAGAAGGGTTACTGATCTACACAAATTATTTTTATATGCATTTTTCTTCTTAAGCTTCTATGTCTTAAAAACCTTTGTGAGATACAGAATTTATCATTAGTGGTTTTGCCTCCCTTGTTCGTACCATGAAATGATGACTCTGCCGTTGCAATGCTCATTTAACTTGGATAGTACACGGATGCCGTTTGTGATTATGAAGCCCACAGACTCGGGGAGAGCTGTGCCTTAGGAGGTACAGCTCTGTGTTCCTTCAGAACGTCCCATTTTAGTGCTGGTTTTGAAGGGTTTTGCCTTTCAGCGGTCAGATAAAATGAGAGGTAAGCATTAAGATCTTAACTATCCAGCACCGACACCTGCTGGGACTTTGCACTTTTGAAAGTGAAAACCTTTAGCTCATCTTTCTACAGTTTGGTGTGCAGTATTGTTGATTAGATAGGTAAAAAGAAGATAAAGTAAATGATTGAACATAAATCCGAGTGCGTAGGTAAATGGTATTCAGTCAGATGCATTTCTCTTGAACAGGACTGCAGCGTTGCACCTTGCCTAGTTGGGGCCACTGCCTCACCAGCTGTTCCCTTGGGAAAAGTAGCACACTGGCGCCATGGATCCTGGACCCCAGTAAGTGAACTGACTTAAGAGACACAGCATTTCTACTGTGGAGCTTTTGCATATTTATAAAACTGTTGCTTCAGAGTTGCCAAGTTAACTGTGCATCTGTTGTCAGGAGGTTTGGTGCTATGGAAGATGTAGGGCTTCCAGGTGGGTCATTTAATGACCAGCTTATGGCTGCCCTTTTCAAGAGCCTTGTCTCTGTGCAGGAAATTTAAGTCTTCAGGATCTATTTTCTAATCTATAAAATGAGGATAATTAGACTTATGTCCCATGTTGTTATGGGAAACAGATGTGAAATCAGGCATTTAACAACTTCCGTCTCAACTGTAGACAGTCTTCTGCTGGTTTTCTGAACTGAACGCTTTAATGTATTTGGAATAAACTGTTGCTTTTATCTTATACTTTAAATTATGGACTCATACACACTTTCCACTACTGAGTCTTTCAGGGTTGTTTTTAGTGACATTGTAAGATGATCTTATACATACCATTTTTAGGACATTCAATTTTGATATATAAGTGAACATTCTTTTAAATCATTATGTTCATTCAAATTATTAGATCTGACTTGTGAAATGATAGTCTACAGTGGAAAATTTTATTCTCATCTGTATTTGACTCAAATTATGCCAGGTGACATTACTTATAACTTAAGTTTTCTAAGGAAACTTGGTATTTAGAAACATAACAACTATAATTAATCAAAGTAGGGGAGGTACCGTGTGCAGCTGAGTGCTGTTTGATTTTTTTTTAAGTGCTCTGTGTCTTGTGGAAGAGGCAGTCAAGCCCGTTATGTAAGCTGTCGCGATGTGCATGATGGAGCGGTAGACCAATCGTACTGTGCCCACTCACCCCGACCTGCTCAAGTATCTGTCTGCTTCAGCCCTTGTGGAGAATGGCGAGCAGGGAATTGGTCACCTGTAAGTATTACGAAAAAGTAGGAACTGAAAAATGTAAATGTAATATTCTATATTAAGACAGAATGAGTGTAGTATATTGGATTATAAATGTTGGCAAACTTTCCAATCAGTGCTCAGCTTCCTGTGGACATGGGAAAACCACTCGACAAGTTTTATGCATCAACCACCACCAGCCAATTGATGAGAATTACTGTGACCCTCAAGTTCGGCCTGTGATAGAGCAAGAATGTCACTTGGCCACCTGCCCATCCTCCTACAGCCTCTCTCCTAACTCCCCTGCGCACCCGAGCCACTTGCCAGGCAGAAACACTCCATTAACTGACAAGCCAGAAGAGAATCAGGGGGTCCGTCTGTCACTAGGAGGAAACCAGTGGAGAACAGGTCCTTGGGGAGCAGTAAGCTGTCTTTATTGAGTTATATTAATTCTGTAACTTTGTTCCATTACAGTCCTTTCTGAGATATGTGCACATCAAATGCTTTTAATGTGAAATTTATCTAATGACCAATAGCTTTCCTCTTAAAAGGATTAAACATTTTTGATGCAGATTATAAATTCCCAGTGTACCCACTAATGTGACCTGCTTATGGAGGAATGCACTTAAAAAAATTTGATTAGAGTTCATTATCATAAAAACAAAAGAAAACCCTCTCAGAGGGAGGACTCCAAATGTTTGGGAAAAAGAAAAGAAACAGCAGGAAACAAAGACTTGATAGTAGAGCGGGGCTTGGGCTGCTGCGAAGTCTGGAGGCACTGAGGGATGGGACCTCCGCTCATTTAGAGACCAACAGGCAGGGTAAATGTAGCAACAGTGTTTGTAGTTCCTTCCCAATGTTTAATTCCTTTTTAGTTACCATCCATTTTGAAAGTGAAGCATCATTTTCTGATGCAAATTTTAAAGACTTACCTGTTCATGATTCCTTTTCAATCAAGCCCTGGCTGGCCTGGAGCTCTCTATGCAGATTAGATTGACCTCACAGAGATCTGCCTGCTTCTGTCTCCTCCCCAGTGCTGGGATCAAAGGCATGGGCTGCCATGCACAGTTTTCATCAACAAATTCTAATCAAGTCCTCATAAAATTCAAGTGTTTTGACAGATTTTCTTGGTTTAAGTTGTGAGGCCAGGGAGGGAGGTTTCACTGTTGGCTTTGCTGTTGATCGGTCGAGTCAGCGATTCTTTTTCTCTGTGTGGTGTGTACAGAGCCTGCTTCTGTTCTGTCCCCACCAGTGCTCTAGCAGCTGTGCAGGAGGTCTTCAGCGCAGGGTTGTGGTCTGCCAGGATGAGGACGGGCGAAGTGCCACTCGCTGCAGTGCTGCCTCCAGGCCCCCTGAGTCCAAGCACTGCAATCCAGGACCCTGTCCACGCTGGAGCTACGGGAGCTGGGGAGAAGTAAGTCCTGGATCCCCTGGTGCACTTGATGACAAATTGCAGTGCCTCCTGCTGCTGGACGCTGTTGGTGGATCTGACTTCACCATGCTGTATGGAAGCACATTTTTTTTTTTTTTTTTTTTGAGACAGGGTCTCCCTGTAGCCCCAGCTGACCTGGAACTCAGTGTGTAGACCAGGCTGGCCTTGACCTCACAGAGCCAAGTGCTGGGATTAAAGATGTGTGCCACCATCATGCCCGCCTTGAAAACAGATTCTTAAAAATCCTTCTGGTAGAACTTCTCTTTTGTGAAATTGTTTCATTTGTGATAGAAAGCTTATACTCCAGATTATTTACCAAAACCTGATATGCTGGCTAGTATGTGGGCACACAACCAGCTTTCTGAAAATGGGTACGTGATCATTTAAATATCTTAGAACATTAGATTGATATAAACATAAGAGAACAAGGTTGATCTTTGTACCGTGCTTTTTCCTACTCCAAGTCATTCATTTGACAAATCTTTTCCTTAAAACCAATTAGCTATAAATTATTAAGCATATTCTTGATGTCCAAGCACTCAAAGGCACTGAAAATACAAAGATGATTTCTGAAAGGGCCACGTTGACTGTTAATGCCACCCAGATTTTGAATGGAAAATATTAAGAAACAAATTTGTACACTGCTTTGGGTGGAGAAATACTCAGTGACGCTTTGTGCTTAATGACATTAGCACTGAATTCTCTTCACAGGGAATTTGGCAATCTCTGATTAAAGGGATACTTTTGGCCAGGCACTAAAGAAAATGAAGTTAATTTTAAAAAACAAACTTAATTTCCCAAAATTAAAGTAGCTCTATTTTTTCTCAGTTTAGGTGCACGCATTTTGAAGATTCAAATCATATGAATATAAAGAATGAGAGCTTTAGCATTTGGCCTATTTCCTGCTATTTTGTTCTCTGGGCTGCGGAAGCAGACTCGTGTTACACACGCTGCTTTGCTGTCTGTTCTCATATATAGAGAGCACCCTCCATGTTTGTAAAATTTGCTCTATTTTCATGGTTACATAGTAATCCATTGGTTAGCTGTCATACATTATATAATTACTACTACCTTGATTAGTCAATTTGTTTTGCATTTACCTTGCTTAACAGTGTCATGTGGAAACTTTATATCTTATTAGTATTATACTAATTCTCAAAATTTTGCTAATTTTTATATCTCAGGGCTAAAATGCTTTTTTCTTTGAAAGAGAGAAATGTTAGCAATTAGGAAGAAGTAATGAACTTTAACCTCTAGAATTCTGAATTGTGTTTAAACACTGAATGAAGGAACATAAAAGTCTTAGGGACTGGGGATATAGCCAAGTTGGTAGAGTTCTTAACTTCGCATGGGTGGAGCTGTGGGTTTGATTTCCCGGCACCACATAAACTGCACGTGACACATGCCTGTAATCTCAGTATTCAGCAGGCGGAGACAGGAGGGTCAGATTTGAAGACTATCCTCAGTTCCATAGGAAGCTCATGTCCAGGCTGGGCTACATGACACCTGTCTCAGAAAGAAAGAATGAATGAAAGAAATATATATTCTCTTTGAAGCCACATAGGTTTACATTTTCCTGTTATTTTTAGTGTTCACAAACATGTGGAGGAGGAATAAAATCAAGATTTGTAATATGTCAATTTCCCAGTGGCCAAATGTCACAAGATGACAACTGTGAACCCCTGCACAAGCCACCTAGTGTGGCTCAGTGTCACACGCACGCCTGCCCTGATGATGTGTCCTGGAATCGGGGTCCCTGGAAATCGGTATGATAGTCCTCATCACCTACCATGTTACTTTTGCTTAATCTCTTCGTACGTGTGGAAATGCAGGTGCACCTCTTCTGATTTTTGCTGTTTAAAGCAGACCATTGACTGTCCTGGCATGTGTTATTAGAGTTGATAATTTTGACAGGAATTCAGTTTCAAGTACTATAATATATGCAATGGTTTTATATATGTATTTATTTTTATATGTGAATGTTGAAATAAGCACTATTCCAGTGGAATGCTTGTCTTTATTGCTCCTTTGGCTTGCCTTCTAATTCATGTTTTGCTACTTACATGTGTACACAATGTTAATGTCATTTGCTTGTAATAATGGCAAATTAAGGCTGTGTCTTGTTTGAGTTTATAACCGTTGGTGGCTTTTGTCTGTCACTACCCAGTAATGGGTCCAAACCCAGTTAACATTATTTAAAATTTGTTTGCTCATTGTTAAATTCATTATTTCATTTAGAAATGTGAAAATATTATCTTCAAAACACAAGAAATTTACTTACATAAAATGATTTTTTTAATCTGTTGACATGTCATAGAGAAATGACATATAATAATTTATTATGAATATTCATTTTTCCACTATGTGGATGGACTTGCTCTGGTTTAAAAATATTTTAATTTTATATTTTTTGAGCCATAGACAGAACTCATAAATTTGGATTGCTCACAAGGAGTTTATTTTCTCTAATATTTTTCAGATATCTGGCTTAGAGTTAGAATTCATACATAAGTGTATTGAAATTAGTTTGTTTTAATCACCTTTTACCTTTTAGATCTTGAACAACTGTTTGTCTTTTAGATAAAAAATTGAACTGAGACAGTGATCTATTTATAACTAAATTTATAAAATTAATCCATTTTTGTCCCAAGTAGGGAAAGAGAAACGAAGTCACTCACTAGAGGTCTTGTTAAACATCTGCCTGTGTCTCTTGCTTCAGGATAGGCACTGGAAAGTACCTAAATGCAAGTGACAGTGAAGTGGATTTCCTGTCTCTGGGGTCAATACAGCCAGGCCCTGGTCTGGAGCCAGTGCACCACCTGTGTGCATACACGTATTGGTGTGCATTCACACTTATTTGTTCCTGACTTTCTGTGGCCTTCGTAACACAGTGTCAGAGCTAATTGGTGGTGGGAGCTGCTGTATGGCCCATGACACCCATCAGGCCCTTTCTTACAACATTTTGCTGATACCCGTTCTATTTAATGAACAGAATTATGTGTCAAATGTTTAGGACAGGAATTTATTTAAAGTTACAGAATACTAGAACTGCAGTGTTTTTGAGCCAGCTTTAGTTTAGGTGTATGTAATTTTTTATTTTATATTTTAAACACTTTAGGGTTCACCAACCTTCTGAAAGTATTCACAGTGGTATTCACATATGTTTATATATTGCATTGAAATATCTAGTACTATGTTCCAGTATATTTGTGTTGTGACATTTTGTGAATAAAATATGTCATAAGTGAGAAGCCTGAATTTCCATTAAGTCCTATGCACAGATGGCTTCTTCAACCTTACAAAAACAAATGGTCGTGAAAACTAAAATTATAAAATAGTAAGAGAGAACTACAGACTTCTTCATTGTTTACTACACAACTATTTTAAAAGTAGTTTATTGAGTGATTCAGTCTTTGCACTAGTGAACTGTATAGCTATAGTTTTGATAAATTGAAAATGGTGAAGTTTTAAAATTACAATAAATTATGTCAGAATTTTTACAAATTTATTTATTTGCTTTGTTTTATGTATGAAGACATATATCTTTAGAGTACCTGGAGTTCTTTTATTATATGAAGAATATTTATTCGTTAATCAGTCTTTTATATTAAAAGAATTCAGGGGATCTGAAATTTTGCAGATACATATTTTCTGCCTCTCAGTGTTACTGCATATTAGTCAAATTTCAGAATACCTCTTATCAATAGATTAGATTAATATTCTTTCATAGGTAACATTAATTTCAGTGGATCCAGCTCATTCAGTTAGAAAATTGAGAGAGTGTGTGTATAAATACACACATACACATATATGTGTGAATGAATGACATGAAATCTATTTCTTTTTTTTAAAGGAAAATAAAAGCATGATGTGTAACATCATTATTAAAAATGTTGTTAGAAAAACTATGAAAAGACATTTAGCTTTTCTTCATATTGTGGGAAACCTTGTACTGTAATAACAAAAGGGAAAAGTGAATCTTAGCTTGTTTTTGTTAATTGAATTACTGTGTTTTTGTAATTAGCCAATGTGAATGAATTGTTCTTTAACCCTTATTTGTAATGTACTGTGTGCTTGTGCTGTGCATAATCTGTATACACATTGTACTTTTACTCCTTGCCTTTTAATGCTTACAAAGTTTGAAGTAACTGAACCAATCTTATGTCGTAGTGAGTGCATCCCTTCATTTGGTGCTGTTTTCCTTAATTGTTAATTTCACTTATTAAATATTTAATTGTTGAATAACGGACGTTTTCATAATTTTACTGAGTGTTTGCATAAGTTACTGCTATTTTCCAGCTATTTCTGGTAGAAACTAACATTGCTACTTAAAAGTGTAAGATTTAGACACAAAAGAAAAAATGTAAGATTTGTTGTCTAGTTATCCATTTAAAAATTATAGAATGTTCATATTTTTCTTTTTATATATTATGAACAGTGAATAAAAATTAGTGATATGTATTATTTGAGTTAAAAATAGATTGTTAGTGACCAAAGTAGTCTTTTATTTTGAACTTCGGGCTTTATTGTGCCACAGGGAGGGCCACGCGCCTGCCCGCCCACTCCTGCTTTTCTGCCTTGCGTGTGTAGTGGGGCCTCACACGTAACCAACAGAACAACTGGAAGATGTTTTAATTTATTTTTATGTCTTTTCCCACGGTCTCAGATATGCAGTCATGCCTTTTCTTGGCCTGCTCTTAATTCCATATGTGGAATGAATTCATGTTTGATAAACAAATAATATATATTCCAGTGTATTCTGGGATCAAGGGTAACTCAAGGGAAGTAGAAGAAAGATGGGTTGTTTTCCTTAAAGATCCTTTTCTTACAAAAAATTAGAAAGTTATTTTTAAAAATGAAAGTTTGCTCTTTGACCCCTGTTCATCTTAGTGTTTTCCTTCAAAGTATTTTAAAAAATACTTCTAGGATTAGACAGAAAAAAATACCAAATCTCTTAAGACAGTGGAATGCAAGACACGCAAGCACTCTCAGAAGTGGGCTAGCAGTAGCACACACCCGAGTCCACGGCTGGCAGGTAAGCAGTTGTGTGTCACAAGTTTGGTGATGGCAGAGAGGGGTCTGCTGCCTCCCCTGGAACTCCAGCTTCAGACTAGGAGCCTGTCAGCCTTGAGGCCCAAAGCTGCATGGGAGCAAGGCGCTGTGAGGAGTTGGTTTCAGAAAACTGCCCCTCCGGCTTTGTAAAGCCTACTACAGGTATCCGCAGGAATCATCTTCTTAAATTTGGAAAAAAAAAAAACCAAATAAGTGTAGTAAGTAGTTTGGAAATCAATTTGTTAACATTTATTGTTCATTTATCTGTCTTCTATCTATATATCTATGTATCTAGCTATGTAGTTAGCTATCATCATCTATCATCTATCATCTATCATCTATCTGTCTATCTATCTATCTATCATCTATATCATCATCTCTCTTCTATCTCTATCATCATCTATCATCTAGCTATCTATGAATCATCTGTCATCAATCATCTACCTACATACCTATCCACCTATCTGCCTGTGTATCTATGAATCATCTATCATCTGTCATTCTGTCTATCTATCTGCCTATCCATCCAGCATCATCTAGCTATATCTATTTATCATCTGTCTATCTATCATTTGTTTTTATGTGTGTACATGTGTGCATGTGTGTGCATACACCATGATGGGTGTGTAGCGTTCTGAAAAACTTGCACGAATCAGTTTTCTCATTCTGCCATGTGGGTAATGGGTTGAATTCAGGTTCTCAGGTCAACAGGCTCGGTAGGAAGTGGGTTTACCCACTGAGCCATCTTGCCAGCACTGGAAATCAGTTTTTAAAATAAAACTTAAAATGCACTAAATATTGAAAGCATATCTCATATTTATTCCCATATTCTACTATAGCATGGTTATTTATTCTCCAACGTAATCTATCTGCTATACAGTAGGCACTGTGCTGGCCACTGTACCCCAACCAGATGCAGTCCTGTGTGCAAAGTCTGCAGTGATGATTATTGTTCTAAAGGAAACACACTCACAATGCAGGGTGGGATTACTGATGCAGCAAAGCCAAGTGATTTATAGTATTGAAGACTCATAAATATTTGGGTTTGATATATTAGAATAAACAAGGATTACTACTGAGGACTGCACTCAGTAACATAGTAATCCTGCTAGGAGTTCCTTTTAGAAAACCTGAACTAGCAAGATGCGTTCCATCATAGCCTAGCTTATGCTGAGCAGGGTCCTGTTCTACTGTAGAAGAGAGAGTCAGGGTTTACTTAATACACATCCTCTGCACATGTAGATTTTATGTCTTATCAAAAAGAAATGACCATGGATAGGCTTACAGATCGCCTTAGGTAAGATGCGTGAAAATAGTACCAGAGACACAGTTGGATCCTGTGTTAAGATATATGAGTGTTAAGATATATGACCTAGGAAAAATCCAAGTTGATATCCTAACCGATGGTGAGAGATTGCATGCTATGGTGCTAACGGAATTTGCAATTCAGAACACGAAGCAACTAAAAAATCTCAGCGTGTATAGGATATGCCATTCTTTTCTTTGTGTTTCCACGTGAAGGACTGTGGAAAATGTCCACATGTCTATGGTATCTCTGCTGTTTCCCTAGATTCTTCATTTTCCTGCGTTCTTCAGATTTGTAAGAGTCTAAGGAAAAAGGCTACATGTTTTCAGAAGAAATTGCTTGAGTGCTCTTTGATGCCTCTGTCGAGACTGTTTGTATAAAACAGATGAACATTCTGAATATTTGGAT